TGCTTCAGGTCCAAGCGCAGCACATTCGCGCACGTTGCTTTCGTTCTTCTACTTATCACGAGACCAAGAAACGAGGCGTCTGAAGACTATGGGTGGTCTTTTCGATTTGAATCAACACTATTACAAACGACAAGTTCCTAAAATTGTTTATGATGGTACCCTTGCAAATCAGGTACTATTCAGTGCATCGATTATTTAGTACTTATCCATTACTTAGTGTCCCTTTATCAGCTTCATACACGACGTTCCCTGCAAAATGATGGAAGAATTCTATCCATTGGTTGGATTTAATTTACTATCTAGTCTTAACCCTCAATTTAGGAAGCAATGGTAGACCCAAAAGATTTGCGACGTTTTGCTTCAGATATCAGCAACGATTTGGTGTTATTTTACCCGTCTTCTTATGAGGCAAGATTTAATAATTTAGTCAATAAGTCTCTTAGTTAGTCTCTTTAGATTCCGACGATTTACTTTACTGATGGCTTGGTCGTGAGACAACTTTCTGCGTCTTCTCTGCAACAACAAGTGATTATCTTTTTGACTAGATGTGCGAATTGGGTTATTTAGGTCTTAAAGCGAATAGTCGAGAATCTCTACGAGTCACTATGCAAACCCGATGCTCCATTTGCTTGGCTTCAATCAATTGGCCTCATTCAAGCTTCGTTGGATGAAACCTTCTGCGGGCCTGATCAAGCTATGGCAGGAGTCTTGACTAATGTAGTCTACCATCATTACACAGTCGAATTGCTCAATCTTTGCAGGTACATGCTGTATTTACTTATTCATTCGGCTTTTTTTAGAAATCAAGCGAAACCATTACCTGCTGTTGTACTACAATCGGTGTTCGAATGGATTTGGAGTGAAGCCGAGCGGCAATATCAAAATATGCACAACATTGGTATCACATATATTTTCTTGTTAAATAAAATTATTATTTAGTTGATCCATTGTTCCGAGGTATGTGCGTTGAACTCAATGACGCTGATCAACGATCTCTAAATGCTTGCGAATCGATCTTTGGGTCGGGCACATTGTTTTTATAGGCTTTTACCTTTTGTTTTAGATGTGCTCAGCGAATTCTACCTTTGTACTTGGATTTGTTAAATGGCGAAGCGGCCGGTCTTTGGGAATTAAGAAGCGAGACTGCTCAGTCATTTCTTCATTGTCTTACTTTTATCTACAGTTTGCGGTGCGACAAGGTACTGGTTTTGTAGGACTTTTTACAACAATTTTTAGATGTTACCTATCAATGACCAAACGCGCAAAGTCACTCAAAGAATTAAAGAACAAATCGAATCGCGACGCATGGCAGCTACCAATCAAGGGTTTGGGAATTCTCTTTGCACAATGTTCATTCGCAAATTTTAGAAAACAACTATATATTGATGCGCTCTTGAAACGAATCCACGATCGGGTCAGAACCAAAGCTGACTTGATTTGGCTTGACCGTGATGTATCTCGATCATATCCACCAACATTATTGGTATGATTTTGATGTTCACAGATTTAAATGTTTTTTTAGGATCTTGTTTCACTCTTCCCGATGTTCGATATCAGTGGAAAATTAAAAAGATCACTCATCCTGTATTACTTACTTGATTATCACAGTGCCAATGGATCCAACAATTTATTAGTAATCACCATTTTTATAAAAGTATATGTGATTTTCTTTAAGATGGCTCTCGAGGATTTCTATGCTGGAAATGGAAGAATGTTGCGCTTTACAAAAGAAGAGTTGCGATCGGTGTATGCAGAATGGCTTGGTGACGTTGCGCTAGAGGCTGCGGACAAAAAGGAACAAAACAACTCCCTTAAAACCGACAAAGATGCTTCCTTTCTCGATATTAGAAAAGAACTTTTTGAAGCGACGACCAAACTCATGAGTTCGGAAGGTTATAACGCTGGTGAAGCTGTTCGGATTAAAGGTTTTTTACTTGTTGGATACAACAATATGTTTGTTATAGATTTGATGGAGCGAGTTTATGGGCATCCTTTGGATAAAATCATGTGGAATCTACTTCTTATTGATCATGCTTTCTATGACGATGTTGACATTGAGGTAGATATTTTTACAGAATAAAGCTAACTGCTATCTGGTATCCACGTGTTTGTTTTTAGATGGAAGTTCCTAAAGAGCTTGAAGGCGATCAGCGTGTTCAAAGGTACTTGCTGATGGTAGAATATCTTCGCTTATCAAATTACAAAAGCGTGAAGGAACATACAAAGAAATACGCTTTGTCCGAAGAGATTATGAGTAAATATCGAGCGAGTCAGTTTTTACGTATGAATCCGAAAAGTTATTTGTTTAGAAAAGAACGAATCGGAGAATCTGCCTGTGAAAAAAGAATCACCTCGTACCAGCATCTTTCGAGCGGAAAGTTATGCAAAGAAGCTGAAACAAATGGTAGAAAGTTTTTGCGTGTCATCCTATATTTAATTTCAGAACCTTGACGCAAAACGGTCCGATAATTTGCTGATCACCCCAGAGAAACAAGGGGAAGCCACATTTGCGATATCACCAAAGAAGGCCAGGCTTTTACATTTTGACGATGAAGACACATCAATAAATTTCATGGAGTGAGTTAAAACTGCACTAAATCTTGTAAATAATATTTTTAGCAATGTACCATCGGAAGAGTTAGATCAACTACGTCAAGTCATTCAAACGCCAAAAGCAAGAGCCAATGCAGCTGCCCGAGCTGAAGGACACTTCCGATCAAATATGGTTACTCCTGAAGAAGTCAAGGAACTACCGCCACCAACAAGCATTTTAAGAAGTGCACATAAACGTATTTTGCAATTTCCTTCACATTTGACCGAAAGTTCAGAGACGCCTACGCGTGGTAATATTCGATGGGATCCGGAAGTGGTAACACCCGTGACAACGGTTTGTTTTTTGTTTTTAGTATTTTAAACGAGTTGCTTTAGTTTTCCAATGACGAAACGCGACATGACTCGATTCCTTTCAACTTGGATGAAGATGAGGATGTACAAGAGAACAACGAGCCCCTTGAGAATGAAGAACTTTATTGTGACTCACGAGAAACAATCGAGGAACCTCCTCAATCAGGGTCATTGCAACCCGCTGAGGACCAAAAAGAAGAAAACTATTTTGGCGAAGAAAGCTTCCGCATTATCACGTGGGCGTTTTTAATTTTATCATTTTATAAAGGCTTGTATATAGTCGAGAAGAGCAATCTGATAGCGACAAAATGGAATGTGAACCCGAAGAGCCGTCGATCGAGACAAATTCATCCCAACTAGTACCGAAAGACTTGAGTTCATCCAAAGAGGTCTGAGCTTTCAATAGTTCTAAGCCTTTTTGGCATTTTTAGACGATACAGACGCATTATACATACAAAGAAGAGCAAGAAGTTCATGTGAACGATCAAGTGGTGCAGAAAGTGACGAATATTGAAACAACGACAGGTTTTTTTCTTTTTACATTTGAATGAATTCTTTTAAGTGCGAATTTGCTCTATCGATGAACAACCGACCAATATCGAGCCCGAAGAGGTACCGGCGGAAGAGAATGGACTATCTGATGAGGCAGAAAGCAAGACACCGACTCCGGAACTCACAGAGATCCCTCTGATTACACCAGGACATGTGAAGTTGAACGAAAGACCTGAAGCAAAGGAAAAGTCTCTGTACTCATCTCCGAAGAAAGCTCCATCTGTATCTCCAACTAAAGAACATCTGGATATGAAGACGCCCACAAAGCTATCATCGGTTAATGATGATGCCGCTATTCGTCGTTCTTCGCGAAAGACAACACCACGAACTAGCTTCATGATCATGCCTGAAACTCGCCGTTCACCTTCGCGCTCTACTAGGTAAGTATAAAGTAGCATAAAATTTTTCTTCAATTTTCTTTAGAAAGCTTAGCAAAGAACCCGAGCACGTGGAGAAAACCACGAATGATAGTCCTCAGAAAACCGTTGAACCATCTACTTCAAAAGGTCATCATACAATTCTAATATAAATGCTGTTGAGTTTAGCTTCTTCATCACGACAACTGTTTAATGCAGAGGCATTAAAGAGAAAGCCTATTGAACAGCGTCTGGGTATCTATTTCATTGAACTTTTTTATACTGTTTTTTTAGTAAAACTGGAAGATGTGTTGCCTCGAAAAGGCCGCAAGCCAAGAACAACTTCAGAGAGTCATGCCACAACGACTGAGGAGCAGCAACGACGAACTCCTGGAAGACCAAAGCGTGCTGTTTCTTCTACACCTTCAAAATCGAAGGTTTGTGCAATGTCTATGAATGTGCAATGGCTAGAGATTCTTCAGACTACCCCGACCACAAGTGCAACGACTTCTGGACGATCTTCCCGTGCAGCTAGTACGGTTAAAAAAGGCACAGCGTTGGAGACTGTACCAGAAAAGACACCCTCTCCCGAAGAAAAGGTAGAGTTTATCGCGGAGAAAACATGGATTAGCGAAGAAATGTTTTTTCAGGCAACTCCACGCAGGCTATTGAGAAGCGCAACAAAAGAAAAGAGCGTCGCTCCTATAACTCCAGCTACCGGTTTGCTGCATATCTAATTTTTTTGTATTTCTTTTAATTAGGTAACTTGCAAAGAACTCCATCTGCTCGCAAAAGGACAGCTGTTGAGCCACTTGAGGATATTAAGAGGTCGCGAAAGAAGTGATACATTGTCAAAGGAATACATTTTTTGTTTGCAAATTGAGTTTTACTGATTTATGATTTCCGCAAATTTTAATGGTTCGTTTTGGGAGCTTTAAACCAATAAATTATTATTTTTTCTTTAATATTCTTTTTTATATCTACGGTTTGTTGGCAGAAATCTATCTCTTTGCTTAATGTTTCTTTTTGACTTGTCTTGTCATACGGTAGCTCGGGTGCCATTTTTGGGCGGAGAATATTCGAGAAATTTCTGCCTAATGGAGATTAAGATCAGACCCGGATTTTCTTGTGAAAGATAATAACTTAAATTTGTTTTTTCTTAAATTTGATTCTTTAGCTCTTCAGACGATGGCCACTATCGATATCACTCCTAATCAAGTTTGTTATCATTTTTTTTTACAAAGCGTTTGCGTTTTAGGATGGGGGAATCCAGAAAAAAGTCCTTCGAGAGGGCACTGGGACCACTTCACCGGTTCCTGGATCGACCGTATTCGTCCACTACGTAGGAACACTTGCGGATGGCGGCGAGAAGTTTGATTCGAGTCGTGACCGAGGGGACGAGTTCAAATTTGCGCTCGGACGTGAACAAGTGAGAGCTTTTGGTTTTAATTTATTTTTTATCTTAAAAGGAGACTGATCTATCTAAAACTATCGAACTTTAAGCTCTAAAACATTCATTTTAATTAAGCTTATTTACAGGTCATCAAAGGATGGGACCTTGGTGTCGCCACGATGAAGAAAGGAGAACTGGCTGAGTTCAGGATTGCGCCCGAATACGCATACGGCGCCTCGGGAAGTCCACCAAAAATCCCAGCAAACGCCACGCTCATTTTTGAAGTGGAGTTGATTCGTTGGGAGAGTGAAGATTTGTCACCAGACCGCGATGGAACAATTTCTCGTGATGTCATCGTCAAAGGAGAGGAGTTGGCTCATCCAAACGATACTAGTGACGTTGAAGGTTTTTTTAAAACTTCTAAAAACATTGACTTATTTTAGTTCATGCTGTTGGATCTTTTGAAGGACGAGTCTTCTACGATAGAGACATTACTTTTTCCCTTGGTGAGGGATCGGAGGTTTTTTTACAACACTAGTTTTTTTCCTATATCAATGTTTAGGCTGGATTGCCCGAGGGAGTTGACCGAGCTATTCGTCGTATGACTCGAGGTGAAAAATCGATAATTCATATCAAGGGAACCCGGTTTACGTATGGTACTTCTCCTCCTGCTGAATATCAGCTCCCGTCAAATGCCCCCATTGACTTCACCATTTTCTTGAAGAGTTTTGTTAAGGTTTGTATTTTGGTGTAGTTTGTTGAATATGGATTCAATTTAGGTTCCTGCAACCTGGGAATTGACGGTTGAACAAAAACTCGAAACGGCTCAGGAGGCCAAAGAGCGTGGAACTCACTTTTTGAAAGAGGGAAAGTTCAAGCTCGCTTTGAACAAGTACAAACGAATTGAAGACCTGCTCGAATACGAGAGAACCGCTGACCCTTCCGTTAAAGAGGTAAATCTATCTTGTTTATTTTTTTTATTGTCTATATCAACTTTTATTTCATTGATTTTTAGAAACGGGATGCTCTTATGGTTGCTGCATATTTGAACATTGCCCTCACACATTCAAAGATGAACGAAGAACTCGAATGTATTAAGGCTTGTGATAAGGTTGGTTTGTCTTGTAATGAAATGAAACTTGTAAAGCTACGATTCGCCTCAATAGTCTAATTGATCTTTTAGGTATTGGAGCTGTCGCCTGGCAACGTGAAAGCGCTTTATCGAAAAGGGATGGCAAAGCTCTCTTTCAGCGATTTCGATGAGGCTCTTACAATCTTCGAGAAAGTTATGGCATCAGAGCCAGGGAACAAAGTGAGAATTTATATTGCAAGATGAAATTATTTCGTGAAATGAAGCATCTGGATTTGGCTATTTGATCCTCAGAACCAAAATTTTCGTCTGAAAAATGTTTTCATAACAGCATGCCATATAACTTAACTCTTTTGACATTTCCAAAAATTACTGTTTGCTAAGTTGCATAAACTTTATTTAGGCAGCTGAACAGCAAATTCTCATTTGCAAGCAGAAGATCAAAGAGTTCGAGCAGAGAGAAAAGCGGCGTTTCAAAGGACTTTTTGCCAAACTTGGAAACGATGTCCCCGAAGAGGTAACTTTCAACATAGGCTTCTAATAAGTAGTAACAGTTTGGTTTTAAATTAAACAGCAGTATTATGATTGTTTTTTCACAGCAGGAGCAAAAAAATCCATCCGAGGAGAAAGTTGGAGAAGAAAATGCGGAGCCAATGGAAGGCTCGTCAGCTTAATTTTTGAGTGATTTATGAAAAAATTGGGTACTAACTTCAGGGCGGGGCACTTTGACCCGACTTTGTCAGATTGTATGTTTTGACTGTTTTACCAAAGTTATTTTACTTTTTCTAGGGTAATCAAACATGATAAATCTATATCAATAATATTTTTAGAAAGTTTTAAGCAATTTTATTTATATTTAGATAAGCTAGCTGGAGTTTTGCCTCTGCAGTGCCGCTAAGCTTGAAAATGAAGAGAGGAGCAAAATATAAAGTGATAACTTGTTCAGAATATTCTAAAAAATCGTCAATCGATTAAGCGTATTTGATTACCCCAGAAAATGCAAAACAAGACTAGAAAAAACACATCTACAATAAGGTCTGACCGAGTCGAGTCAAAGTGGCCCCCCGAAGTTTATTAGTACCAAAAATTGTGATTCATTTGTTGTTTGTTTGATTCGACAGAAATTTTTTATATATTTTCCACACGATGATCTTTATTGCGTCATTTCTGGTCTCTTCAAGTGTGTTAACGTTTTCTGTTTGGTAAATGATGTGGGGTGAATAAAAGATCTCCCATCAGGGAACTGAACAAATCTGCCTAGTGAAAAGAAATCGCCGAGAATAGAAAAAAGTAGCAAAACTGTAAAAAATCTTTTTATAGTCAGAAACAAAACACTTTAGCCACAGTAATCGAAGATAGAGCTCACTAAAGAGCTAGAGTCATTTTAAGACCACTTCAAAAGGAGGAACATCTGGTTCTGATCAATTCGAACTAATCGTTTTACTTAGAACTTTCCGAGAAACAATGCACTTGCTAATTTTCTTGTTTTAACTTGAACTGTTTATCTTATGACTTGTTAGTGGTGGGCGATTGAGTTGTGAGAAATCTCGAGAGAATTTCCGTTGTTTTAGCCTTGAGAGAGTGATGGTTTTGAGATATCTGTGTCGTGACTAATGCCATCTTTGATGAATTTGCCTCAAATTTCTTTACCGATTGCATGAGCATCGGTAAAGGGAATCTTCATTTTATCGCTTTTTTAAAATTTGACTCTTTCCCATCCGGTCGCAAATTTGTTCAATTCGAATCCATAACTGGCTTGTAAAGTTGAAACTGAATTTATCTACTTCACTTGATTCTAGACTTGAATACAGGGCACAGATGAACCGATCACTGGCTTCCCAATTGACAGATCAATTAATGGCTGATGGGACGAGTGCTTATCGAGTGAGTGAGTGATCGCACAAAAAAACATTTCCCCAAATTTATTTTCAATCAGTGTTTCTGGCACATCAGTTTTTTTTTGATCTCCACCACGATAAGAGAAAGTGAGAAAAGGACGGGGAAATGAACGGTCAATTGAATTACTTACTACATTCAGACTTGCGTTCTCTTTTTATCGATTTTTAAGACCTTTGGTGTTTTGCTTGATGATAGCAACTTTAGAATACTTTAGAATAGTTCATTTGCGGTCTCATTGCCAGTTTGTGTACGATGGAAAAAAAAAACGAGATTTGATCACTTAAAGCTACTTTTTTTAGAAGTTTAAATCAAAAAGTCGATCTTGGAAAAGTCTATAATACTTTCGTGTAAGATATCATGAAAAGGTTGCCGTTGAAGTGATGAATTCTCGTTTTCTCAATCGATTGACATTGACAATCGAATCGATTGACAATCGTATTGACAATCGGATCGACAAATGAACAGGTTTACAGTAATTTACAGTACGCAATCTAGGCGTGGGATTGGGCCCTGGCGGGCGCATCACGAGCCCAAATGGAAACGATCTATCAGCGAGCACAAGAGGTCGTCGCTCAACTGCCTTTAATGTGAGTTCAACAGCACATTTTGACTATTGTTTTTTTTTATCTAAACAATTCTGTGTTAAAGTATTTGATAAGCTTTTCTTTCTGAAAAGAGGGAAATCGAAAAGGGACTTTATTTTTGAAAACCCAAATCTTCTCGATAAAAAAAATCGAATTTTGCAAGCTCTCGTTTATAATCGCTGAGTGAAAATAGCTATGGCTTGAGATATTTTTGGGAGTAGCAGTGTTGAAACGTTTTTTATCTCATTTGAACACCGATGCGGATTCACGCTTCAGCGAGTTTTTCTCTCCAGAAAAAAAAAATAAGTAAACACTTTTCTCTCCTTTGAAAAGAAAAGAAAATCGTTTCTTCTTGATTTTTCTCCCCTTTGCCTTGAGGTGTCACTTCTGATCTTTGTGTGTATTGACTTTGATTCGAAGAATTTGGTAAAGATGACCGATGTGGGCGCTTCCTCATCACAAGAATCAAATATTACTCCTCAAAATCAGCGGATTTTATCAGCGAGAAGTCATCGAAGCATTGTTCATCCCGAAGGATCATTGAGAGAAGAAAGCGAGATGGTGATCAGCGGATGGGATGGACCGGTGGCGGTGAGGAGAAAGTAAGTGTGCTTGTTTGTAAGCGTAGACTGATAGACTTGTTCTTTCACTTGTTCTTCTCTACTTTGTGTGCCAGCGAACGTGTGTTTACACTTTTTTCGAACAAAGAAAGAGTTCAGTTTACGTTACTCTTTACGTGACTAGGAAGGAGTTCTCAAGTTCAAGAACAGTAATCCCGGTAAACAGTAAATAGTGAAGTTTACAGTAATCCCTTGTTTGTTAGTTCTGTTTCTTATAGCCAGCTTTGTTATCAATATTCTGCGCTTCAATTTATTCTATAAAGCTGTGCATTTTTGCAACATTTTTCAACCTTTTGTTCGTTTCAAAAACTGTTAACTAATTAACTGTTAACTGTTAACTAATTTAATGTAAATTTTGTAGAAACTCTGTAGAATCTTTTACCTGTTTTTACTTTTCGTCTGCTGTTTGCCTGTTTGCTTTTACTCAAGAGAAAAGATGATTGTGTTGAACAACTGTTTCCTGTTGTTCGTCGATAAATCTCTCGTAGCAAGTAGGCAGCGAATTTTTTTTGCCTTACTTCATGGAAACTTTTTTTTGAGCTCATTGTTTATTGTCTTATTGCATTTTTGAAAATCTTATCATAAAGTTGCATAGCTAGTCTCATAGTCAGCAAAAGCACATACAAAAAAAAACTCGATAGTAATTGACACTTGATAGTAAATCATTGAAGGGATTCTCCAAAAATGATTTACTATCAAGAGTTTTGCCTAATCAGTCCTAAAAACATCAAAAAAACCTTTTTTGAATAAGGTGATAAATATGATTTTGTGACTTTAACACGATGCTTAGGTGTTAAAGCCACAAAATGGGCTTTGCGTTGTTAAATGTTTAAATGCTTAAGCACAAGTAAACACTAGGCTTTGCGGGAATTCAACTTTTCCAAACCAACTTTTAATGACTAGAAAATTCGAATAGCAGCTGATTGTACATAGGCAAACAGTGTAAGCAGTTGTAAGCAGCAGTTGTAAGCAGCAGTTGTAAGCAGCAGTTGTAAGCAGTTGTAAGCAGCAGTTGTAAGCAGCAGTTGTAAGCAGCAGTTGTAAGCAGCAGTTGTAAGCAGCAGTTGTAAGCAGTTGTAAGCAGCAGTTGTAAGCAGCAGTTGTAAGCAGCAGTTGTAAGCAGTTGTAAGCAGCAGTTGTAAGCAGCAGTTGTAAGCAGCAGTTGTAAGCAGTTGTAAGCAGCAGTTGTAAGCAGCAGTTGTTAACAGTTGTAAGCAGCATAATCAGTTCGAAACTTTTATAGTAAAAATATGCGAACTTTGGCAAAAGTTAGTGATTTACTATGAGATTAACTTACGAAAAAAACTCTTAATAATATGTAATGAAATGGATTTGAATGAATGAATGAATTTGCTGTTAAATGCTCTTTTTTTCGCTTTCGGTTTCAATCGCTTTGGCTGGAAATTTTGCTTAGATAGTAAATAAAATGTTAATTTCGCTTTTAAAAAAATTAATGATTTACTGTAAAGCGTTAAATACACGTTTTTACCATTGGAGGGATTCTCCAAAAGTGATTTACTATCGAGCTTTTTCCCCTTGTATTTTCTTAAGCGTTTTGTCGGGAGTTTTCAAAAGTGATTTACTATCGAGCGTCGACTGTATAAAAATGGATTTATGAAAGGTGTTCGCTTTGCTTCACCATAACTAGGACTGTTCCAAAAAAAGGCAAAAGTCATGGCTAGTCAAGCCAAGCCAAAGCGATTAGCTTTAGGCTTTCGATTCGCTTTAGGCTTTCGATTAGCTTTAGGCTTTCGATTCGCTTTAGATTACAACCTTACTGTTGGATATGCCCCTAAAACCTTGACTTTGGCCTGGAAAATCTGTCTGAGGAAAAGTTCTGCATCTAACTTGAATAGTACCAAAGATTTTAGTTAGAAAATCTTCAATTATAGCTCACAAGGTGACTCAAAATCGAATTTGGCGAGGGTTCACGGATCGAATCTAGTCAATCATTCAGACAAATCTAGTCTGAATTGTTCAAGGCTTATTGTTTCTAATATCTTTTTGCTGATCCACTGCAAAACTTCTCAAATGAGTCAGTGTTGCGGACAGAGAATCTGTAGGAAAATGGAGAAACTGGGAGAGAAAGAGGCGCCATTTTGGTGGGGGAAAATCAAGTGAAAAAGGGAAAAGCTCAATAAAAGCTGAAAAGATGGAAAAAAAGGAAGAAGAGCCAAGAAATTCCCGAAAAAAAGCTGATAACATTCGGGGGGAATGGGGAAAGGAATAGGGGAAGAGGGTTTGGAGTGAATTTCCCCCAAGAATCATAAACTCAAAGCCGAGTTTTGCACCGGAAGAGAGACGCAAATTCATATCTGTAAAAGATTCATTGAAAATCGAGAAAACTAAAGAATTTCTTTTTCTTTATTTCTTTTTCTTTATTACTTCTCAAATCTCAAATTTGTCACTTCCTTTTTTTTTGAAATTATCTTTCAAAAAAAGCTCATTTATTTGAGTAATTTGAGATGAGAAATTGGATTTTTTGAGTCATTTAAGTTAAACTTTTATATAAATAAGAAAATTTGCTGTTGAAAATGCTCTTTTTCGTTTTTGGTTTCGGTTTTCGGTGAAAATTTTGCTTGGATAGTAAATAAAATGTTCATTTTCCTTAAAAAAAAAAATCAATGATTTACTATAAAGCGTTAAAAAATGATATGATTTGATCTGTCTTCGCACTTAGCGCAGATCACAACCCGCTTCCACATTTACTGAGGCAGAAGTGTAGTTGTCGTAGCCGATGATACTCCGATGGCCGGGCTGGGGCGCTCGGAGGGGAACCCATGGGAGTCGAACCCACGACTAACCCGCGCCGACGTTGCTCAGGCTTAGGCGCGGGTTAGTCGTGGGTTCGACAGACCCCTTCCCTTTCTGGGCCCCAGAAAGGGAAGGGTCTGTGGTCTGAATAAATGAGCTTATTTAAACGCGTTAAATAAACGTCTTTTAAATAAGCTCATTTATTTGAGTAATTTGAGATGAAAAATTGAACTTTTTTTTGAATCATTTACCCGAGAATTTAAGCTAAACTTTTAAATAAATAAGAAAGAAAAAAAAGAAGCTGATTACTTGGAGATTTTTGTTTACATTAAATTTTTGTGATAAGTGAAAGTGATTATGCGAACTGAAATTGGTGGTTGGCTCGAGATTTGGGCTGTTAAACCGTTCATAAAATCAATGGAGAGTGCTTTTGAAAATGATTAGGCTTTTTTTGAAGTTATTCCTTTCAGTTTGTACATATTTCTTATTTCTTTTGAGTCTTGCCGAACATCAGTTGATTCATTTCCTTGATTTCTTTTTCCTTGACTTCCTTGATACAGCAAGTGTTTCAAAAACTCTCTAAATTCATTAAACCCGAACTTGGTCACATTTAACTCTGGTCACTTGCTCTTTTTTATTGATTCTCGAGCTTTCTTGTACATATAACTTCATGAGTTTATGACTCAGCAAACCAAAAAACAATAATTTCTTGTTAACTTGAAAATTAGTCGAAAATTGCAGAATGTCTGACGACGAGGTTGTCCAACACTACGATGAGCCCCCAAAAGAGGAAAGGGGAACATTGCCTGGTGAGTGGATTTGATTCGTTTATTGATTAGTTTATTGATGAGTTGAGTCGATGCTTTATAAATTGCAAATCAAAGAAATTGCAGGCCCAAAGAAATTCTCTCAACCGCCAGCCTCACAATCGACGGCCGCTCGTGCTCAGCCGGATATCGGTGATCGGATTATGCAAGAGGAGATCCCATTGGATAATCGAGATGAAAAAGAGATCAACACACCGTTGAATGTGAGTTTGGGGAATGAAGAATGAACTTTTTCAGTTACAATTTGAATTTCCAGGAGTTAACTAAGATTGTTTTGGAGTCTTAGACTATGCAAGAGGAAAGACAGAACTGGGAAGAATGACCAAACCTTCTAAACCAAACTTTCAGACTAAACCTTCCAAATCAAGCTTTCAGACCAAACCTTCCAAACCAAGCTTTCAGACCAAACCTTCCAAATCAAGCTTTCAGATTCACCTTCCAAACCAAACCTTCAAACCAAACCTTCCAAACCAAACCTTTCAAACCAAACCTTCAAACCAAACCTTTCAAATTTGCATTTTTACACTAATAACCAGGTTCCAATCGGATTTGAAGGCCTTTGAGGGATCAGGATAGGTCTGGCAAGGGTCTGGCATTACATTAAAATCAAAATGTGCTCTTAAAACATTTCGAAAAACTTTGTCAACATAAGCCAGTTCAATTCCAAGTCTGCCAGTCTACACCAAACCAGACAAAGCTATAAGCAAGCTAGAGTCTGACTTCTTGTTAAGATTTCAATTTTCTCCTGTTCATTCTTGTCTTTATTCTTATCATTATTCTTGTCTTTATTCATTTCAAATAAAATCGTTTAGTTTTTCTCTTATTTCTGCTGTTTTCAGCTCAAATTTCTTAAATTCTGAGCGTAAAGATTAAGAGAATTTTATTGCTTTATTGCAGTTTTTTTTCCTTTTTGAAAGGGGTTTATCAAAAGCGAAATGATTTTTGGAGTGATATCAGGGAAAATATGGGAGTGGGAAATGGTTGGCGAGTTGTTTACACACACAGAAAAAAAAAGAAATGAATCACGAAACGATTTCCATTCCATTGAAAACTTTACAAGAAAATTCACAATCGAAGAGAAGACTGAAAGAAAAAGACAGAAAGACAGAAATTTGGTTAGTAGATGAGGATGAAATGAATTCAATCCGTTTCCAGGTGCACTTCTTGGACATTTTTGCTGAACCCGAGCCAACCCTTCACAGCATTGATTGTTTGTGGACGAACAGCTATCGCGTCTTTGAAGTCACTCGACTTTGGGCTTACAGTAAGTGCTTAGGCTTAGGCTTGGGCTTAGGCTTGGGCTTAGGCTTAGGCTTGGGCTTAGGCTTGGGCTTGGGCTTAGGCTTAGGCTTGGGCTTAGGCTTGGGCTTAGGCTTGGGCTTAGGCTTGGACTTAGTGCGTAGGCTAGCGGCTAGCGCCTAGCACTAAGTCTATTTGGGTTTGGGCTAAATCCCCATTTTCTGGATCTCAGCCAGTTCTCGGAGCTAAGGGACACCCGTTTGGCGGTGTTCTTTGGAACCCAATGGGAGTCTCTGGACGAAATTAGACTTGGGCTTAGGCTTAGGCTTAGGCTTGGGCTTGGGCTTGGGCTTGGGCTTAGGCTTAGGATTAAAAATCAAAAATAAAAGCAGTATTCTATCTTGAGCTAGGAAATTTCAAAATATCATTCAGATTTTAAGATCAAGACCAAGATTTGTCAAAATCAGATTTACCGTTGATCATTTTAGGAATAATCTCTCTGATCCTTGGTCTTCCCGTCGCTTTCTGTTGTGGACTCTCATTTGCCTGCGTTTCTTTCAATTATATTTGGTTTGTTTGAGAAAAAACTGGATATTTATATTAAGCAAACTTTAAAGAAATATCTGATCATCTTTTAATTCCTTTGTCTTCTAATTTATCTTTATAGAATCTAATTCTAAAGCCCAAAAAGGCTTTCCTCTAAAAATCTAACAAAATGATCTATTTCTAGAGAAGTTATAGAGATTTAGAGTTGGATTTTTCATTCAGAAACCCTCAAGATCAAACTTTCAATGTTCACTTTACAGGTGTTTCCATCCAGCTCGTCGAATCATTCTTATCGAGTATCACATGATCAAACAGATTGTTTATGGGTAAGTAGAAAAAATAGAAAAGATTATAGTAGATCAAGCATCTATTTTAGACAACTATCATAATCAATTATCAGTTTACGTTCAATAAGTCCCTTTATTAACATTTGATGATGATTATCGTTATCATTAAATCACAAGGCTCAGTCAATAATATAAAAGAATTAGTGATCGACATATAAATCTATAAATTGGCAATAGATTATGATAGATTTCTAAAATTACTTTAAGCTTTAAACTTAATAATAAGTTCTTTTTAAACAAATTGAATATAAATAAATTGTGATTCACGATTCGAAGATTCTTCCTTATTCTTTTCGCGTTTCAGCGCTAACGAAAATACTATTGTTTAATTGTTTTAAGTTTCAATAAGTTTCAATAAATTAGCAATAGATTATGATAGATTTCTAAAGGTGCTTTAAACTTAATAAGTTTGATTCACGATTCGGAAATTCTTCCTCATTCTTTTCAGCGCTAACGAAAATACTAATGTTTAATTGTTTTAAGTTTCAATAAGTTTCAATAAGTTTCAATAAGTCAATAAATTGATGATTGAATATAAATTAGCAATTAATTTTCTAAAATTACTTTAAACTTAATAATAAGTTCTTTTTAAACAAATACTTTTTAAAGATCGACCTTTCAGGGCAGCTGGTTTATTCTGTCGTCCGGTGGCGTTGGCTTTTGGAAATATCTTCGCGAATATACGAATTCATCGCTCACAAGGCGAAAAAGTTCCTGAAGAGCAATTGCTAATAGTTTGAGAAAAGTATCATTCTAATTTGATCTCAAAAAAAGAAAAAAACAAATTCAAGAACTTTATCTCGTTAAATAGAAATGAAACCAACTAGACGAAAATGCCTCTAAAATTCTATCTAAAATGATGCCTTTCAATCAATTTCTGTGTACCTCTTTCGAATAAATTATTTAACTTTTCTTAAACAATTTCTCATTTCTCTTTTTCACACCACATTCTCTCTCATCATCTGCTTCAAGATTATATATAGATACTTTATTCATCACCTGAGATAAAGTGCGCTAGATTTAAGATTAAAACACATCAATTCATACACATAACACGAAAAGGGCCGATAAAAAGAAACACGATATAATAGATGGAATATATGGGCGCGCACATAACGTCAAGCACATCCACTAGAGCTTCAAGATCAAGTTCACAAGATCATCTACAGATAATTGAAAGATTTCGAGACTCTCCTCAAAACACTGGGGAGTCGATTCCAAATTCTCGCAGTTCTTATTGGAAAAGAGTTATAGTTTAAATCAAAATCAAATCAAAATCAAATCAAAATCAAATCAAAATCAAATCAAAATTAAAATCTATCTTTAAAACTATCTTATCTGTGAACGTTTTTAGCCAAGCTATCAAGCACATCTATATAAGACGTATTATTGTTCAATCTATATAAGATTTAGATTGAATCTAAATCGGACGTCCGATATAGACTGTAATCTAAATTGGACGCCCGCGATAAGTTCAATCTAAATCGGACGGAAATCCAAATCGGACACAACATATATATATATATATATATGTTGTGTCCGATTCCGTCCGATTTAGATTCAATCTAAATCGGACGTCCGATTTAGATTGAACTTATCGCGGACGTCCGATTTAGATTACAGTCTATATCGGACGTCCGATTTAGATTCAATCTAAATCGGACGTCTTATATAGATTGAACAATAATATAAACATGCTTAATATATGTTCTTAAGCGTTTTCTGTAGTTTTCTGCATTTTTCAAAGGTCTTTGGAATTGGAATTTCTAAAACGAAAGAACCTTTCCTTGAACTAACCGTGGGATTAACTTTGAATAAATCTCGAAAAAGAGGGATAGGTTGCCTGCCCTTTACAATTTTGAAACATTTGAAACAAGATTGATGAAAATTTCAATGTTTTTCTGAAATAGTCTTGTGGTTTTGAAAACCCCAACTTTTCCTTAAGAGCTTGTTTTTTCTTTCTTCAACATCACGATTGGAAATATTGGCATTGATACTCCTCTTTAGTCTTTAGTCTTGAGGTCTTTAGTCTTTAGTCTTTAGACTTTAGACTTTAGACTTTGTAAAAGTCTTTAACCATCTTTAACCATCTTTAACTATCTTTAACTAGCCTTTTATTTGTTCTGCATCCTGCATTGACGTTTGACTTCAACCTGTGTACATCATTGAGTCAAGCTTCATGATTCTCAGATTCTTCCTCATTCTTTTCCCGTTTCAGCGCTAACGAAAAGCTTAGTGTTTAAGTGTGTTTAAGTTTGAATAAGCCCATAAATTTTTCGAGATGCTAGCAAAAGCGTCAAACATTATTTGCATATCATTTTTGTCAAATTTGCGCTTTTTAATACACGTCTCTACCAACTCTGATTATTATTTATATTTTTTAGTTTTTCCTCGAAACTCGCTGTTTTGCCGCCTTCACTGGATCTGAAAATAGCATAAGATCGATATAGAGAGTAAAAAGCTCAATCGGGGACATAAAAATAACTGTGTTTTGCTGTCTGTATAAGTATTTAAACGTGTTTTATAGTTGAAAACAGTGAGAACGAAAGTTGTGAAGCAAAAAAAACTGAAAAAAGTTGGTTAGAAGTTGGGAAAGAGTTATTTGTTTGGCGCAAATAAAATTGAAAATGCAAATGAAATTGGGAATTTATTTGTAAATTTGGCGCAAATGAAATTGGTGCAAATGAAATTGGCGCAAATGAAATTGACGCAAACGAAATTGGCGCAAACGAAATTGACGCAAACGAAATTGGCGCAAACGAAATTGGTGCAAATGAAATTGGCGCAAATGAAATTGACGAAAACGAAATTGGCGCAAACGAAATTGACGCAAACGAAATTAGCGCAAATGAAATTAGCCCAAGTGAAATTAGCGCAAACGAAATTGGCACAAACGAAATTGACGCAAACGAAATTGACGCAAAAGAACAACATCTACGCCAAGTCTTCCCTCTACGCCAAGACTGCTGAAATTTTAAATTCAATTGTATTTTTGTATTTTATTTTACTGTAAACTGTGTCTATTTCTTTGTTTTTAACTCTAAATCTTCAGTTGTGACTCTCAGAATTTCCCGTTTTCCTTTCCCTTTAAAACTATTTGAAATAGAATAGAATAGAGTCTCATGACATGGGGATCCCTTGACTCAGTACTGGGATGAGGCAGGCAATTGTGCAAAATTCATATCGCCTCGTGCCTCTCCCTTTCCCTAGTAATCTAGTGAAAGTTAAATGTTAGCCTCGATTAGTTGTTGCTCGGCTTTTCCTTTGGCTTTCCTTCGTCTTTTAAAAAAAAACTTTTTGCATAAGAAACAAACACAAATTTTGATTTTTGAGACTTGTGAACCTCTTACTACTTTTTTTTCGCAAAACGGAAACGTTTTTTTTTGTTATCAAAACGCAATAACGATCGAGTTGAGACCACAGACTCTATTTTCGATTAACAAACAATTTCTTTTCCCTTGTTTCTCTACTTGAAGGGCTGAATAGGCTTTTTTTCAGCTCTTACTCAAGGCTGGTGATTTAACGAATGTTCTATATTTCTCTTTAATATTTTAACTTTTTAAAACTCATATTAACGCTCGACATGCTATGATTTAAGCTGGGGTTTTCATTGGTTACAAATTGAGCTAAACATTGAATAACCAATGAAATTCTAATCAATTTCCTCAATTTAAAAGAAAGAAAAAGAAAAAGAAAAGTTTGTTTGGAAAAACTTTTTAAATAGTTTTACAATTATTAGGTTGGCAACTTAATAATGACGCGTCACTACTTAACATGTTTTTTGTAATTTCAAGCGCCGTTTCTTCCCTCTTTTTTGCATATATACAAAGTAAAAGATATCTGCATAAATAACATTTAGTGCTGCAAATTTCATCATTCGCTTTTGGCAAAAAATGGAGGACAAAAAATTCCGTATTCGAGCTGCATTGTTCTACGATTTTAAACAAGGAAAATCACCAGCTGAATCTCATCGCACGATCATCACTGTTTTTGGGGAGGAAAGTATACACATTCGGCAATGTCAACGATGGTTTCAAAGATTCCAAGGCGGCGATGAAAGCCTCGTAGACGAGCCACACCAAGGACATCCTCCAGAAGTGGTCGACGATGACTTGCTCGCCTTAATTGAAGATTGCCCAACACTCACCGTTCGTGAGTTGGCAGAAATATTTGAAGTATCCCATACGACAATCAAAAACTATTTACACAAACTTGGGAAAAGAATCGAGTTGGAAAATGGGTTCCTCACGAACTGACCCAAAGCAACAAAATGTCACCTCAATTTTGTTACAAAAATGTAAATCAAACGACTTTTTTCACAGGGTTTTGACTTCTGACGAAACGTGGATCAACTATGAGAACGTTAAGCGCAAAAATCAATGGCTATCTGCTGGGCAGACCCCTCAAACCACTCCCAAACCTGATATCCATGGGAAGAAGATAATGCTCTGTTGCTGGTGGAACTTCAAGGGATTGGTGCATTGTGAAGTGCTGAAACCTGGCCAAACCGTCGATGCTGATCTTTATTCGAAGCAATTAATGAGAGTTAACGAGTCTTTGAAGAAATTGGGGCTCAAACCGGAGAGAGTCAGATTTTTACACGACAACGCAAAACCTCACACTGCAAAGATCACTTATAAGAAAATCGAGAAACTTGGCTGGAAAGTTTTGCCCCACGCGTCTTATTCACCTGATCTGGTTCCTTCAAATTACTTTTTGTTTCGGTCGCTGAAGCACTTTTTAGAGGGAGAAAAGTTCGATGATCATGCTCAGGTCATAAAAGCAGTGAATGACTACTTCGCCTCAAAAACTCCCAAGTTCTTCGAGGATGGAATCCGGGATTTGCGCAGAAGATGGGAAGAAGTCATAGATACTAATGGAGAATACCTTTCGAATTGAAAGCTCTTCTTTTGTGTTTTTTTGAAATAAATGATTTGTTACATAAACGCGTCATTATTAAGTTGCCAACCTAATAGATGAAAGCTGTTAAATGTTAAATGATCGCTGAGAAAATCGAGAAACAGTTAAAGTTTCTTAGAGCCAGTTCATGGCTTCATTTCCGGTTCATGACTTCAATGTGCTTTCAAAATTTGCATATACAGGGTGGCTGAAAATTACGTGCGCCAAAGAGAACGCCATAATTTAATTTTCTTTCAAAGAACATGTAAAAATACTTATTTATATAATAGTTGTAACAAAAGCATTTGATAATTACAAGAAATTTTCGAAGTGGCCTCCATCCGCTTTGATACAGGCTTCAATTCGCTTCTTTACAGAATCGACGGTGCGGCGGAGATGTGCGATTGCGTCCCGACCTCGTCTTTGTCATGTCTTTGTCGCTTTGATACAGGCTTCAATTCGCTTCTTTACAGAATCGACGGTGCGGCGGAGATAATTTGCATCTAAGTCGTTCCAGATGTTGATCAATTCTCGACGTAAATCATTCAAATTGTTGATTTTCCTATTTTTCAATTGTGCCTCGATGCGATCAACGAGTTCTTCATGCCTCTCGTCGCCAGCTGTGCGATTGCGTCCCTGCGTCTTTGTCATGACCTAGAAAGCAACTTTTTTAACAAAAAATTAATAGACACAGATAAAAAGAATATTAAAACACAAAAAGATGAGTAGTAATGCTTTATACATTGTTTAAAACTATGTCAGATGCTTCGCGCACGTAATTTTCAGCCACCCTGTATAACAATGACGGCAGAAGTTTAGGCAGAAGGTTTATTCAAAAAAAAAGGAGAAATCGGTTTTAAGATTATTAAGACCTATACAATTCTTAAGTATATCTTATTTTAAAACCAGGAAAGTATAAGAAAACAAAATTTGATAGGTTAATTCAAATGAATAAATTATTTTTCATTTCCTAATCAATTTTCATTTTTTGTTTTAAACGATAAAAGATTGATTGGAAAATTGTGCGAATGAAGAGGAAAATTGAGAAAATGAAGAGAATAGGGGGGATTGAGAGAAGGAAAATCACATCTAAATTGAAATAAATGATCGCATTCATTTCTTTGCCTTCCAAGCTCAAATCATCTAATGGACCAAATGATAAAACGTATTCTGAAAAGAAAATTCAAAATAGATATGGGTATACTTTGTGAAAATTTGTTTAAATGAAAACATATCTTTCCTAGTGCACTTAAGTTTTCCTTTTCGATTCTAGCAACAATGAGAAATATATCGTAAATACCCCCAGCCCCATAATGACGGTGCGGAGTGTTGCGTAGTCTAGCTTTGAACGCGTTTTTCTCGACACTGGCTTATGCTACAATGTGCGCTTAGGTATCAAAAAATAGCTGAAATTCAGGGCTATTTTTTGATACCAAAGACGCATTTTTTGAAAGTACAGGCGCTCTGAAAAAAATGAAATACTAAAAAACTTTTGCGACTACGCGACTGTACGAGGGCGGTGGGGTACTATTACAGTATTTACGGTATCTAACTAACTATCTAACTAACTACAGTAAATATTGTAATAGTACCCCACCCCCATAATGACGGTGCGGAGTGTTGCGTAGTCTAGCTTTGAACGAGTTTTTCTCGACACTGGTTTATGCTATAATGTGCGTTTAGGTATCAAAAAAATAGCCCTGAATTTCAGCTATTTTTTGATACCAAAGACGCATTTTTTGAAAGTACGGGCGCTTTGAAAAAAACGAAATACTAAAAAACTTTTGCGACTACGCGACTGTACGAGGGCGGTGGGGTACTATTACAGTATTTACGGTAAGAAATATGAGAAATAAGGTTCAAATTGAAAATTTCAATTCAGAAAAGGTTGTTTTCATTAAAGTGCATTCCTCGCGAGTAAGTAATCTGTATCTGTATGGTAAAACTCGAGTAAAATCTGCATGGGCAATTTTGACTCGACTAATCGATGTTTTTTTTTGGGTCGAGCAACTACGAGTAAATCCTCTTTACACATCGAGTAAACTGAATATCTTTACATGTGACGGGAATTTGCCACCAAAACAGTTAAACGGCTGAATATCTTTAAAAAGAGTCGTATATAGCTCGTCGCTCGTGATTTTTTTTGCAATAATTTTCGCTAAAAGTACGATAATTTTGGGGGTGGGGTACTATTACAGTATTTACGGTAAGTGTGCGCTTTAAAAAAACGTATTACTCGTGAGGAACTAGAGTGTGTTCCCCGGGAGTAATGCGTTTTCGAAAACGCACACTTGGGAAAAAATTATGTTGCAAAAATGTTGCAAAAATTATTGCAACAAAAAAATGACGCAAAAATCACGAGCCCCGCATTATATACAACACTTTTTTAAAGATACTCAGCCGTTTAACTGATTTGGTGGGAAAGTCCCTTCCAATGTAAAAAATTGCGTTTATATTTTTTTTCGCGCAGGCGCACTTTTTCGAAAACGCATTACTCGACAATTACTCGAGCTATTACTCGAGCTAAAAAATTACTCATGCAAATTTACTCTAGTAATTACTTACTCGCGAGAAACACACTCTAGTTTTCATCATTTATGAGCACAAAACTTTATTAAACTAAGATTAATTTTTGATTTCAAGTATTGATTATTAAAATGAGATTAAAAATGAAATCAATTTACGTATGAAATTTTGAATTTAACTCTAGAATTTCTATAAAAACTCTTCCGGATTACCTGTCCATTTCAGAAGTGTTTCCTTTGCTCTCATTGGATGAGATTTTACACGTTTCGATAATGATCTCATCGAATTTGTATATCTAAATAGGTATCGTTATTTTAAAACAACAACTTCTCGAAAGTAAAATGTTAGTGATGCTTTCTTTTTTGTTAGTGAAAGCTCGCCTCTCATCTTGAAGCACCTCGCGAACCACCTTGCCGACCTCAGCCAATTTTAGCTTGCTGATCGCCTAGGGATAATGAAATAATGAAATAATGATAATGAAAATCTAGATTTAAACTTAATTTTATTCAATATTCAATCTATATAAGTCTTTCTTATAACTTTTAATAGAATTTCTTAAACGAAACCTTTCCAATCCCCCTCATCTCAGCGTTTCTCCCATTGCGGAACTGATCAGCGAAGATGGGAACGATTACCAATGGAACTGAGCTATAAATGATTTTAAAAAAATGAATGAATCTCTAACAATTTATTGTTTTCTATTAGTTTAAGAATTTTTCTTTACCGATAAATTGCTTCAATCATTCCGTTGATGCCGCCGTGTGTGACGAAAAGTTTCAATCTTGAATGCCCTGAAAATACCGTATTTTCTCTAATAGTAGTGTACCCAAAGCTTCCCCTAAATTCCTCGAAATCTCAAGAACCGCTTATCAGAACCTATCGATGTGGGGTCGGAAAATGTAGCTGACGATGAGATCTAGTGGGGGATTTAAGTGTTGAGCTTCTGGGGAAAACTTGGAAACTGTAAAATAGTGATCAACTCGGCTCACTGGGAAATCTTAGGGAAATAGATCAGTCTGATCTACTAGCCTAACCTGGAATAATATACCGTATTTTCTCTGATAGTAGTGTAGTCTAATAATATACCCAAAGCTTCGCCTAAATTACTCGAAATCTCGAGAACCGTTTATCAGAATCTATCGATGTGGGGTTGGAAAATGGAGCTGACGATGAGATCTAGTGGGGGATTTGAGTGTTGAGCTTCTGAAAAAGCTTGGAAACTGTAAAATAGTCACCAACTCGGCTCGCCGTCGTGCACTACTATTAGAGAAAATACGGTATATCAAAATTCTTCTTAGATGTATTTATTAGATTTTATTTTACTCACCTAGTAAATCAGCTTGTGGAATCCATCGAACTGTATCGATATTCGTGACTCCTTTCAACAAATCAACTGTTGTTTCATCGTTGTTGTCGATCTAGAAATGATCTTTGTTTAAAAAAAAAATGATTCACTCACTTTGATGATGAAATGATATTCAGTCATTTGACTGAAATCGTGAATGATCGCTTTGCGAATATTGATTGGAATTGTGTCAAAGAGAGCGACTGAGCCTAGGGAGAAAAAGACGATTCCGCGTTTACCCTTTGACATCAATGTGGAGAGATTCTGAAAAGAATAGAAGCTATTTTCTATTTGCTATTTGCATTGAATCGAACCTCGTCCAATGGTTTTGCCTCGTGAATGCCTAGTCCTCCAATGTATTGAATCTTTAAAGAGATCGGTCGCGGTAGATCGAAAATCGGATCGGTGTTGACGAAAACGATTGAAGCGCGTGAGGCCAATTCGCGAACACACGGGAATTCTGGCGAGATGCGATCACGGAAAATCTATTGAGATTCGGATTCAAAAAATTTGGATACGAAATACAAGAAAAGTACAAGTACAAGAGTACAAGAAAAGTACAAGTACAAGAGTACAAGACAAGTAAAAGACCTTTGTCATTTGATTTGTTCCATACAAATGAATGCCTATCGATTTGAAATAGTTGATTTGATTGTCCAATCTTTCCCAAAAATTCATGCGATCACCGTGATCACTTTCCTCAATCACTGGCACGTATGATGGTGGTTGGGGAATTGCTAAAAACAATAAAGGATAAAGGTTACAGTACTTTAAAATCTTACTTATTATAAGTGAGAGATTATGGCTCTTTGTGTGTCTGTCTGTTATGCAATTTTAGAAAAAAAACGTTTGAAATAGCAACAAAACAAAATAAACTAGGCACTCACTAGTGAAGAGGTTGTAAAGCTCGTAAAATGGGAAGCTGTAAAGCTTGTAAAATGAATAAGCATTCTATCCGATGAACTTACCCAAATTATAACTATTCGCGTCCATCAATGGCGTTGTCGACAACCATAAAAGCTTATTGATCTCGAGATAACTAAAATCTCATTTTGAAAATTTAAAAAGTTTAAAATAACTGAATCAATCCAATCCCGCAAAACTCGATTTGCTCAGTGAAAGCGGCGTCGAATTTCTCGCCTTTCAAATGATTCAAAATTTCTTTTTGTTGAAGAATCACTAAATTTGCTAAATATTTTACATTCAGCTTCTTCTTCTTATCTTTAATTCGATATGCACTTACGATCGCAAACTTTCGCCGCCTCAACTTCCCAAGCAGCTCTAGTGGAAACAGTCGCGAATTCCGAGTCCATTAAACCACCCTCAAAACCGAAGTCCTCATATCCTTTACCTGAATATATGTAATTAAATGTAGATCTGTAATCAAATGAAGATCTGTAGTCAAATGAAGATCTGTAATCAAATGGAAGTCTGTAATCAAATGAAGGTCTGTAATCAAATGAAGGTCTCTAATCAAATGAAGGTCTGTAATCAAATGAAGGTCTGTAATCAGATGAAGGTCTGTAATCAAATGAAGATCTGTAATCAAATGAAGGTCTGTAATCAAATGAAGATCTGTAATCAAATGTTAAGGGGTATTCGCTTTTCTCAAGGGTAATCTAAAAAGAGCTTTACAAGAGATCGGAAGCTCATAAATAAACCTCTGACAAATCTTTTGACCGATTTGTAGATTTTTCTGATGATAAACGAGGATTTTTCCGTTAAGAATTTCATCCATTTTGTTTTCTGCAAGCATTTTTCTGTAAACATCAATCAAAAAAACGTTTTTAAAAGAAAACTAACAAAAAACGTTCAAGCATTTTTCATAAAATCTTCACAAGAAACAATCTGTAAACAAAATTCTCACGTTTTTTCCCCCTTTTCCTTTAAACAATTCAATTAATCAGTAAATGCATTGAACATTTCAACAATTTGCATTGAATTCTTTTAAATCCATTACTCACCAACTCCCGGGATCCTCAGAATTTTCGACTTTTTAATGCCACCCGTGAAATTCGATAGAGAACTCATAAATTCGGGGATTAAAACAACGACTTCATGACCGGCCTCGGCAAGCGTTTCAGCGATTCGCCCATTGCTGATTATATGACTTGCACTGAAGATCTTTTAATGAAGAAAACATTTTTGTCGAATACCTGTACGATGGAGAATAAACAAGGATTTTTCCAGCTTTTACATAGCACAAAATCAATAGAAAGATGATCAAATTTCTAGGAAACATCGACTTTTCGACGAATTTTCGTTTGGAGTTTAGAGAAGAAGTTTAGAGAAGGAAAAAGGCGAAAAGGGGAACTCTTATCAGTCAAAAAAGGAAAGGAGGTAAGTGATTAAAAAACAAAAAAAAAGACAAACAATTTAAAGGAGGTTTTTTTTTTGAAAATCTTTAATACAAAGGCTACTAGATTGATTTAGATAAGAGAGCTTTAATGTCATCATTTGTTTGAAAAGGAGACCGGAAAGAGACCGGAAAAGGAGCAAACTTCTACCTACCGTACATTGTCTGATTTTTTTCAAATCTTATAGAGATTTTAAAACTTTTGAAAATTAGATAGTTTTAAAAGTTCAAAGATTTACCAACCGAGTCCTGTAAGCCAGGCCGGGCTGTTGCCAAACCTGCAGCAAAGACAGGCTAAGCAGAAAGCATATCATTGTCTTATTTTGATGTTTCAAGTGTCGATGTTTAAAATGTTATTCAAGCATTTACAAATATGAAAGGGATTCTTCGGAAGTTCCGGCCAGAAATTTTTGATATCTTCGAGAATGGTGGCAAAAACTGTGCGATCAGTTCATCTTCCAGATTCCCTCAGCGATGTAGCTCTCAAGCATTGTTCGATGAGTTTCGTGGCGGCTTGAGTCTTTGAATGGGCGTCAAATCCTCTCAATATGTTGTGTGTGAACGATTGGATCGATGGGATCGACGAAGTTTGTTGTGTGATTGATCCAATTGAATAATTGAAGTGTCGGGGTGGGAAGCGAGACTTCGAAGATCATCCATCAGAAATTATCCGGGTTCCAGGAGCAATGCATTTCTCGATAGTTGGAAACAAAATAGTAGTTGATCGGGGAACGAGCACACGAAACTTTTCATTTGATTCCCTGCACACTCCGCCAAAACACTACTTCTCGCCGAACATGCTATTTCCGCATTGTGAATAATATTCGTCGATCTCAACAGATCTCCTCAACGATTCAATTGCATGAGTTTGAGTTCGGCTTACAGAGCTCCAGGCAAACGCTTGACGCAAGTGAAAGTTTCAATCAACGATGGAAGACATCCCCAATTCTTTCTCACAAAATTTGACTGTCGAATTTCCTGAACTTGAGAATCGTGACGAACTTAAGCCTTGAATCCTCGAACCAATTGTTCACCCGAATGACACGGGAGTTTGAAAGTCCTATGTAGACACATTGACTACATCCCCAACGCTATCGATCTGATCCTCTTGACGCAAGTGAAAGTTTCAATCAACGATGGAAGAAATCTCCAATTCTTTCTCACAAAATTTCATTATCGAATTTCCGTTTGCCCACATGAACTTGAGAATTGTGACGAACTTAAGCCTTGAATCCACGAACCAATTGTTCATCTGAATGATGAACAATTGGTTTGAAAGTCCTATGTAGACACATTGACTACATCCCCAACGCTATCAATCTGATCCTCGAGATTGGAGCGACATTCGATCACCTCTCAGAAAGTTCGGCATTTGAATCAATCCATTTGTTAACAAAATAGACGATTGCATCCTTTTCCGGAAAAAAAGCTGATTTCCGAGAATTTCATTTTGAAATGAAATTGGAAAAATCCTTTTCATCTCAGGCTCTTATAGATTGAATTTCATTTTTTACTCTTTTCTAATGACAAAAGTTTTCTTTAACGATAAAACGTCTATTTTGTCATTGACATTTTCCGTACAGCTAATTTTTTTTTTCTTATTTCCTCCTCAGATAACACAAAAGTACTGAAATCAACAAGAACTATTAGAAAATGATCCGATCCAGAAAGGGGAGGATTTCTATTTTTGTTCAACGCTGTCTGCCATGAAATTCAATATTAGTTGCCCTATTCACATTTATTAGTTAGTCGATGTTGTCTGAAAATATTTTCCCGTTGTATTTAAACTGTTATCTGATGAGCTTGTCCTCTCACATGGGAGGCTAGGTCAACACTGATTCACAAGAAATCTCAGTGATCAAAGTCTGCTCAAAAGCTTGGATCAAAATTTTTAGATTAACAGCTTTAAGTTGTACAGATTTGCATTACGTCTACAATTACAGTATCCGAAATGTCTAAGCTTATGGCTGTTAATTTTATAGTTAGATTGATAATATTATAGTTAGATTGATAATCTTATAGTTAGGCTGCTAATCTTATAGTTAGGATGTTAATCTCATAGTTAAGTTGTTAATCTTATAGTTAAGTTGCTAATCTTATAGCTAGCCTGCTAATCTTATAGCTAGACTGTTAATCTTATAGTTAGGCTATTAGAATCAACATCAACTTTAAGAAGTCTCAGTACCAATGTGTCATTAAAGTTCACTTTACTATTTTACTTTGCCCTTGCCCGTCTCCCCCCGAATAATATTTATGTTATTGAGCTCAAAAGTCGATCAACCGTGTTTTGAAACAGTTTCCCCCGCCTTTCATTCATTGAATGCTTTGTCCTCTTGAAATCCCTCCTCTTTTTTCATTTCATATTTGATTTCTCCTTGTCGACGTATCAAGTGATTAGGGGATTTTGTCGAAAAAAACCCTCCACCCACTCCACTGATAATTTCTCTCAATTTTTTTGCTCTCAGAAGTCAAATCGCTCGCTAAGTAGCTTAGCTACCAGTGATGGTAGCTAAGCCGAATATCAAATTTATCACAAATTTAGGAGAAGCGAGTAATGACAAAGCGATGAATAAAAGCACAGAAGTCTATTGTTTGCTATTTTTTATTATTCAAATCTATGGATATTCGCTAGGAAATTTGCAGAATGATGAGCTTTTCGAGAAGTTGCCGGAGAAATGTCGAGATTGTGAGTTCAATTGTTTATTCAATTGTTTCAAATTCAATTGTTTGAGCTAATGCATTTTCTAGAAACTAGATGAAACTAGTAATCAACAGTTTAAATCCAATTGTTTCAGTGGGTGTCAACAACACGAATTTTCGTGATTGTTCAAACTATCACGTGAATGTACTTTTTTTGATGGACCCAGAGACGCCGAGAGGAGCTTTCACACCGATGATTCAAGTAGGATAAAGTTGAAGCAAGAAAACAGTAAATAAAGTAGTAAATAAAGTAGTAAATAAAGTAGTAAATAAAGCAGTAAATAACACAGTAAATAACACAGTAAATAACACAGTAAATAAAGCAGTAAATAAAACGGTAAATAAAGCAGTAAATAAAACAGTAAATAAAACAAAACAGTAAATAAAACAGTAAATAAAACAGTAAATAAAGCAGTAAATAAATCAGTAAATAAAACAGTAAATAAAACAAAACAGTAAATAAAACAGTAAATAAAACAGTAAATAAAACACTAAATAAAAGAAGAATTTAGTTGTTGGTTGATATCTTGTACAGTTGTCAGGAACAAGCTCTAGCTGATGAAGGGAATGCTGCGCCGAGGGAATATCCAGTCAAGTATCATCAATTGTTGTTTCTTCCTTCAAGAAAGTTGTTTAGTCGTTTCAGTTACATCTCGGTGCAAACGATGTGGAGTTGCAACTTGACAGATTGCGATCTTGAGAACTCGATCTCGTTGGATTATTCGAGATATCCGGCTAGGTAAAGCAACTATTAAAAGTTATTTTTATGAAGTTTATTCATAAAATGTACTTGTTTCTGGTTAGTCAAGGGCAGATTTGGATCTGGTGCATGCTCTAGGATCTATTCTTTTCTCTAGAATTCTCTAGAACCTCTAAAACCTTTAGAGGATGGTGTTCTACGGTAGTTGGAAAATTGGGAAAATGGAAAATGGTCTAAAGACAAGAGATCAACATCTGAACTAAAGGGGAGACTGTATTCCTATAAACTGAAGCGTTTTCTAAAAGGTGCAAAAGTTTTGCTGTACTTTGCCTCTCTTTTAGGACGAAATATGGTTTACAGTAGATTTTCCTAAGCCCAAGATCAGATCTTGTTCCTAATAAAAATTCGAAGCTACAGTCTCCTTTTTAGTTCAGATGTTGATCTCTTCAAGCTTATCAAAAAAGGCGATCGAATTCTCAACAACTCCACACGATAATCAAGTGATGACATTTTTCATCATCTCCAACATTAAAAAGGAAAATTTCAAGTTATATCCGGTAAGATTTCGATTAAGTATTAAGTATTAAATAAGGAAAATCCTAGAATATCACCTATATCATGGGAAATCCAGGAAGGATTGGTGAAGCGATTGGCTCAATTCAAGCACCGTTTCGTTTACTGTGGTTTCCGGTGAGCAGAAAATACGGCAAAGATGTACTCTAGATGTACTCTAGAAAAAGCACATTTTCTCGCACATTGAATGCTCTTTGATATGCTCAATATGCCAGAAAACATGTGTTTGCTAGAGAACAAAGTACACCAATTTTTTTTCTTGAAAATTTGCTTAAGAGCTCATTTTCAGGGCGAAAGAGAGTATCCATTTGGAGAAATTCAAAAATTTTCGAATGGTTGGTTCAAAGATGTAAGCTTTAGAGAGTTTTGATAGTTATTAGTCATTAAAAATTTCAGTATTCAATTGCAAACACTGATGATTTCCCAAAGCTGATCGATGAGTTGTATATTTGCCCGGTTAATGGCACTTACGTAACACCGAGTCATCAAAGCACTGAAACCACGACAAAGCCACATTCAACAGGTTTATTTACTCAAAAAGATAGTATAATAGAAATATATAGTCAGAGATATAAATGTCGTAGCCGTTTACGAAATTCAGCCGCTAACGAATCATTCGTTAATGGCTAGCCGATTACGAATGAAATTTTTTCACTAGATGTTTACGAAATTTTTGTAATCGACTTCTGCGAACATGGCTAGATTCAAATGAATTTACCATGTTTTTGATTTCAAGTTTTTTTATGCAAAAAAAAAGGAAAAAAAATTGGGGATAGGCTACTTTGCGAGAAATTTTTTGCGCAACTGGGTCTTTTGCGCAACTAGATCTTTTACGCAACTCGCCATAACTTTCTTCTAAGTCGGCCAATCGTTATGATGTTGGTTTCATTTTGTTGCACTTATTGAGATCTAGAAAATGAAACCAAAAAAAACATAAAGATTGGCTGACTTAGAAGAAAGTTATGGCGAGTTGCGCAAATAAAATGGCGGAAATTAGCCTACCCCAAAAATTGATTTTGAAGCGAGTTATTAAAAGTTGTCAAAATGCCCCTTTGCTGAAATTGGGTCCTCCGGGAGGACTTCTCCCCATTGTTATCAGAGATTTCGGATTCATTTTCTTTCTGCTTTTTTTTTATTATTCTTTGGTTTTATTATACATAATCATTTGTTTTTTTCAGGATGAATTCATTTCTCAACCAATTTGACGCGTATCAAGTCTTGAAAAAGCGAACGCATAACGACGAAAAATACAATGAAATTGTGAACAGATTGACAATGTCAAGTGAAAGTGAAAGCGAGAAACGGAAGCGAACGACAGAAGAGGCAAATTGGGCACATCGTTACTCGATTCAATGCATTGAGCAATCAACGATACTCTACAATCATGGAGACAAAGGAGCGAACGAACAACCAAAACGAGTCGTCCAGAAAGAGGAACTCTTCGATGTTTTGACGTCAACTCGAAAAATATTAGGACACGCCGACCGGGATCTGATGTAGAAAGAACTGCGAGGAGATTATCGTGCCAGGATAAAGGAAATACTCGAGATTTTTATCAAACTTTGCCCGGAATGTGAATTAAAGAAGGGGACGCCAAAAAAGGAGTTGCTGTGAAGCCGATCATAATGAAGGAGTAAAATGAACGCTGCCAAGTCGACTTAATTGATCTTCAATCGGTTCTGCATGCATTTTAGTTGATGTTTTGTTTGTTATAAACGTTAATATGTTATACATCTTAAATGTTATAATTTTTATTTAACTTGTGATTAGTTTGCTGATTTGCGTTTTGCATAAATAGTTTGAAATCAATTTGAAACTCATTTGAATCGAGCCATGTTCGCAGAAGCCGATTACAAATTGTACACGGCTAGCGAAAAAATTTCATTCGTAATCGGCTGACTTTCGTAAACGGCTACGACATATATATGTCGTAGCCGTTTACGAAATTCAGCCGCTAACGAATGAGGGTATTTCCGGCCATCGAATCAAAAAGTCATCCACATAAAAAATGTTCATAATACATATATTTTATAATCAATTTTTGAAATTAGCTCATTTGGTTCAGTAGAAAATTTTTTTTTGAGCCCCCAAAGTTTAGGTTCAAAAATGCCCTAAAATGACTATAAAAAATTTTCTACTCAGCCAAAAAACTTGCCTAATAGCTCATTTTGTAGCCAATTTGATGTAGTTTCTTAAAGTAAAGCCATCTAAAACGGCTACGACATATATAGTATTTGATACTGTAATCAAGTGACGATATTTTAGCGGATTCAAGTGGAATGAGATTAAACAACAATGTATTTATTTATTTCATAATTGCCACAATTGTCTATTTAATTTGAGTAATAATGAAAAACCGATTCGAAAACTCTTTTCATTTAGTTTGTTTATCAATAAACTTTTTTTGCATGACTCTAAAAAGCACCAAACAAGTTTTATGTTACTTAGCTGGGTTAGCTTTCAGTTGCATATGAAAGGGTTAGATAAATTGTGCATAAACACAAATTGATTTCAGATAAGGATCTCGATTGGGTTCTTCCGATGATTTTTGTCATCATTCTCTTTTGTTTTGGGCTTTGTCTGGTGGCACGATGGAGATTTTGCTCGCATTGGACACCGAAGTTGAGTTAAGGGCTTAAACGATTGTAATTGAAGATTTAGGATTCCTTTTTTGCACGATTTCAAAATGAGACACGGAAGTGCGCATTCTGTGGCATTACAGGATCAAATTCGGGCAGCCACTCTGCAATCGGCGGCGGGTTTAGCCGGGATCGGCTCGATGGCAAGTAAACCGAGAACGGCAAGTGGGAGTAGGTGGGTGAAACACCAGGGAAAGAGTTTGGTAAAATTATATAAATGGATAAGATAAGACATAAAGATAGATAGATATACAGATAGATACCTTAATTATTCTAAGAAAAGACGAGTATTTTATTTTTTCGATTGAGTTCTAGATGCGTCTTTTATTATTTCCTTAATTCGTGTTTAGATACCAAAGTAGTAACAAAGGTTTTGAAACCAACATTTCAATCAAGGTATGTAGGTAACAACAAAACAATGTAAAAAAACAATAGTAAATTTGTAACAACAAAACAAGCAAGAAAAGAAACAACATTGTTCAATCTAAGTCTAAAATGCATCCATCCAAATTTTCTTTGTTGACGTCATCTCCAAGGTCTTCGTTTTCTAGATTCAAATCAGTAGAATCTAACGAAGAAATTGAAGATGCATGAGATGTCAGAGTTTCCGTTGCATCTGAGTGATAATCCCAGTTGTTAACATTCTCTTCCAAATCGACGTCATCCAACAATTTCGCCAATGATTCATCAATTCTTGCCTGTGTGATCTTTGACGTTCCTGTTTGAATTTCTTCTAGCAGGAAATATGCAATTTCTCTCGTCGTTTGTGGGTTATCCATTACAAGACGGTATTGTCGAGTTTGCACGATCGTAACCGACGTCCGCCACCAGACAATTTCTTTGACTTTTTGTTTGCATTGATCAGGCTCGCTTCTTGCTTTCTCTATGCACGAATTTGGCACTCGCTGACGTCAAAATGTCGTCCCGCTTCTCGATTGTTGTTCTTCTTTGCATATCCGGTTGCTTCCAGCTTGAAACACGCGTCGTAGCACCGTTTGCTCAAATTGCTTTGATGATCACTCATTGACGTCACCTAAATTTAAAAAGTTAATAGATGTAATTAATAAATTAGAAATTAAAAAAAAACTAAAACCAAAAGTTACAAGAAGTAAAACTAGGTAAAATGAAATAAAAAAATAGAAAGAACAAAAGAAGCAAGCCAAGGATTACGGTAGTTACAGCACAAAATAAAATTCAAAGGAATCCTCTAATAAAAGACGCTATTATATTAGAGAGCTTCTTTTAATGAGTAAAATGAAATAAAAATAGAAGGCACAAAAGATAGAATAAATAGTATACAGTAATTTTAATGCTTACAGTAGATGCATTGTCTATAACTTTAAATTAAGCCCTATCCTCCCTCGCATCGGGCCTAGGCGTATCGTCTATCTTCTAGGATTACTGTAGCAATGTTCTTATCAGCAATTTATAATCCTATTTTAAATTTAGTAACGGAAAAGACCCCTGGGAGATTAACTCCGACCGGGTTTTTCTGACCCACGAACGCTTGGGTTGTGGAGCATCTTCAGAAGTAGTAAAAGCTTTGTTGAAAGGAAGACCGCCAGTTAAGGATCGAGGAGCTCCAATGCAGGTACAAACTTAGTTTTAAAAGCTGTAAATATCACTCGAAATTTGGTACAACTTTGGTAATTCAAATTTTCAGCTCGCTCTCTCGTTCAACGACAACAGCAATGTGGTGGCTGCGAAATATTTGAAGCCAAGCGCTTGCTTGTCTGCAAAGTAAGAAAATGCGGGAAAAGATTTTTACAAAACGTATTCAGATCCTCATTCATGGCGGAGAGTAAATTATTGAGAGAGATCGGTTTTCATCCGCACATCGTTCCTTTTGTTGGCATAGTTAGTGATGGACCTGATCGCTTATTGCTCACACAGCTTTGTCCATTCGGCGATTTGCTGAGGTTCTTGAAAAATAATGTGAGTTTTTTTTAGAATAAACAAATATAGAAATCTGATCAAGTATTTTTAGCAAGGAACTTTGAAAGAGTTGGAGGAAAAGGAGAAACAAATCATTGCATGGCAGGTAAGCTTAAGAAAATACAAATGGAGAAACAGAAACACACATGCGAATTTATTCTGCAAGCTAAGCCTTTAAGATTTGCGATGCTCTATGCTATTTGAGTGCTAAAAAGTTCATTCATCGAGATGTTGCCGCGAGAAATGTGTTTATGTACGGGAGAACGATCGGAAAGGTTTGAGAAGTTTTCCAACTAAATCTGTTTAAATCAAATTGATTTTATAAAATATTTTCAGCTTGGAGACTTTGGCCTTTGCGTGAAGGCCCCAGAAGGGAGAATCCGTGCCGGAGGTCATCTCCCAGTTCGAACATTGCCACCGGAAGCCATTGAAACGCTTGTGTTTGATGAGAAAACTGATGTGTAAGTTGAAACAATGGTTAAAAAAATGATTTGAAAAGCCTCACTCAATTTAGCTGGGCATTCGGGCTTCTCTTATGGGAGTTGTACACGGGTGGGTTGGTGCCATTGGCGGATATCACTCTTCCAGAGGTGCTTTCATCGCTCAAATCCGGATATCGGCCACAAGTACCGGAGAAGTGTCCAGAGAAAATGTGAGTGCAAAAGAAGACGAGTAGCACTAGAGTAAAAGCGTTGGTGTTTTTCGCAACAATCAAATTTCTAGAGTTGAACTGATGGCAGAATGCTGGCAGATGAGTCCAGACGATCGGCCGTCATTCACCGATCTCCGCGCCGCTCTCTTCAACGTGATTGACTTAACCTCGGCTCATTACGGCTACATTCACTTCCAAGACTATAAACGATTTAGTTTATCATAGAAATCTATTAGCTCTAATATCGTTATTTGTGATCTCAGTTATCCATTGAAGTTCGGGACCGGGGTCTCTTTGAAAGTTGCATTTATTTTTCACTGCACTACACACATTTATTTGTCTGTACATAAATTTGTGGAATTGAGTATTTTCTATTCTTTTGGAGAGGGTTGAAGCTTTTTGTACATAGAAAAATAAATATTCGTTGATTTAAAAGAGATATCAAAGAAGACGATGCATCGAGAAGACAAGACTGAAGAAATGATGTGGTTTAATTTGTTTAAATAAGACTTGTGTGATTCTAGAAGATATTTAGTCGGTTGATTGAATATTTGCAGCAAAAGGAATAAAGCAAAGTCGAAAACAGCGAGAAGGAATTGTTGTTTAAGCATGGATCAGCTACCGTATCCCTGGATGATTGAAGTTTGTGTGCTATTTATATTTTTTGTGCTCTCTTTTCATCATTGAAAGAAAATTTGTGGGGTTCAACCGTTTCATTTTTATAGATCCGTTCCTATAACCTTTAGGTATTAGATTATACCTGTTAGATATTCTGCAATACTTAAAAAGCACTTACATATCCTTGAAGATAAGCTTTCTGCAACCACTTTCTTATGTTTTCATTTTATTTTCATTAAACCGTTAAAATTTTAGCTTTATTTTTAGTTTTCACCCTTTCGCGCGGGATTTCAACGATGCCCACGCAATTGAACAACGAAAACGATTTCAAATCGCTCACTTCAAATGACAAGTGGAATATATTGCTAAATTCTTATTTTAATTTGTCGTTTTAGCCTCTCGATTGTGCACTTCTACGCTTCGTGGGCTCCACAATGTCAACAATTGAACCAAGTTCTCGATGATCTTAAGGTTGGTGCTTTTTGGAATCAATTCAGCAATAATTTAAATCAAGAATAAGCTTATAAATGTTAAAGTTTTTTTCTTAAGGCTTAAGTTTATTCACAGCTCATCTGTAAACTTTAGGCTGAAGCAACGACTACGTATGAAGTTGCCTACATTGACGCGGAAGAGGTGCCAGAAGCTTCTTTGGCCGCAAATGTCACCGCCGCACCGACCACAATCTTTTACAAGGTTTGTTATTGTTTTTTATGATTGATATCTTTGTTTTTAGAAAGGGAGGGAAGTTGCCCGAGTGAATGGATTTCAACCAATCGAGATTCGGACGCAAATTTTGAAGTTTTCTGGATCGCACGTAGCATCAGTTTCTGCTCCAGTTAAAGAAGTTTAAACTTTTGTTCTTCAATTTGTACTAATCTTGTTAGGATTTAAATGACCGTTTGAAGAGACTAATCAGCACAAAGCGATTGATGCTTTTCATGAAGGGAGACGCTACAACTCCTCGTTGTGGTTGGCAAAATGTTTTGTATCGTTAATCAGTTTTTTGTTTTAGGTTTCAGTCGTCAGACAATTGACCTCCTCAACGAAATCAATGCTGAATACGGCACATTTGATATTCTGAACGATGAAGAAGTTAGACAGGTAATGGGCAATTCGAGAGCTTGTTAAAAAGTAAAATTTAGGGCCTAAAAGAATACAGCAACTGGCCAACTTATCCACAGCTTTATTTGGATGGAGAGCTTGTCGGCGGGCTGGATGTGATTCGAGAAGAGCTTCAGGATGCCGATTTTGTTGCAAGGATTCCGAAAAAAGAGGTAATGTTCAATTTTTTTGTACATTTTGTAGTTAAAATTTTATTCAATTTAGACACTCAACAATCGTTTGAAGCTATTAATCAACGCGAGTCGCTTGATGTTATTCATGAAGGGTAATGAGGAGACTCCACGCTGCGGTAGCTTTGTATTTTAATATGCACAAGTTCTTTTTACTTTTAGGTTTCAGCAAGCAAATAATCGGACTATTGAACGACGCAAAAGTGGATTTCAGAACGTTTGACATTTTGGGCGACGAAGAAGTTAGACAGGTAAAAAACATTCTTTTGAAAATTAATCTTTAAAATCGTATCTTTTAAAAAAAAACTGGAGTTTTAGGGTTTGAAAGAATACAGCAACTGGCCAACGTATCCCCAACTCTACTTGGATGGTGAACTTATCGGTGGTTTGGACGTGATACGTGAAGAGCTCAAGGATAACGACTTCGTGGAACGCTTGCCTCGTAAAGCCTAGTCTATTTTTATCGTTTTTTGTGATTATTCCAGTTTTTTGGTTGCTTAAGTTTTGTTTTTTTCTTTGATTTGCCCAGTAAATAAAGTTGCTTTATTAAGAAGTTTGTTTAAATACGTTTGATGTTTTTTTAATGCATTGATCGATACATCTAAAATGATTTGAGATTAATGGATTGCGGTGCAAAGCCGCTTTATAAAATAGTTTTTGTTCGTTAGGTCAACAAATTTTGAATTTTGTGTAGCACATGGTGTATAGCCTAAAAGAAATTCCCATTAGTTACACGTTTGCACCGGTTTATGGAGAGTTCTCTGTCCATTTCTCTCGCTCTCTCCACTCAATCCACTATCTCGCCAACCCGCGCTGTCGAAAAATTCAAACATCGTGCCATTATGCAAATTTGTCTGATCCACTAGTTCACTTTTACCATTTAAACTTTTGTTTTCTACTTCAATAAGATTACTTTATTTTTAGATGGCCGCTCAAGCAGTTCGTGAAAGGAAACAAGAACAAACGACTTCACTGCAAGGAATCCTGCAAGAAGAAGAGCTCGAAGTAGCTTACATTCCGGTCGAAAAGCTTGAGGTGGGAGCTTTCTTTCCAGTAAATAAGGCTTTTATGCTTAGACTTGCGGCTTTGTTGCCCGTGACATTACGTTGTTGAAAGCGGCTGGATATCATACCGTCGAGGCGATCGCTTTTGCTCCACGAAAGGATTTTACTCGTCATTAAGGGAATCTCGGATCAGAAAGCCGAACGCCTTCAGGTATCCTTGTTTTTTGCAATGCTAATTTCAATTGATTGGTAAATTAGCAACGCTTGTTAGTTTGCTCTACGGAGTTTGAATTAATATGTTTAGGCCGAAGCGCATAAATTTGTTCCAATGGGCTTCACTACCGCTAGCGATGTTCATGTGAAGCGAAGCAATCTTGTGCAAATTAGGTAATAATTGAGATATGTATTGACAATGAATTTTCTTTTAGAACCGGTAGTGCAAATCTGGATCGTATATTGGGTGGTGGAGTTGAGACGGGATCAATTACAGAAGTAAACACTCTATTAAATGTCTTTAAATATGATGCTTTAGTTCTTTGGTGAATATCGAACAGGAAAGACGCAGCTTTGTCATATGTTGGCTGTCACTTGCCAAATGCCCGTGGTTGGTTGATAATTTGTTTCTTTAATCTGTACTAAAATAGGAAATGGGTGGAGCTGAAGGCAAGTGCATGTACATTGACACGGAGAACACGTTTCGACCTGAACGATTAGTGGCCATCGCTCAGAAGTAAGAAATTTCAATTAATTAATTTAACCAAAGTATTATTTTAGGCTTGGTCTTGATGGTGCTAGTGTGCTTGAAAATGTTGCCGTTGCTAGGTTTGTTCTTTATCTTCAAATCAAAAACTGAAATATTTTTCTTTTAATTATTTAATTTGTCGGAGCGGTCATTTTTAATTTAGGTGCTATAATTCGGAGCACTTAATGAGTCTTCTTGAACAAGCTGGAGCAATGATGGCTGAAAGTCGATATGCCCTGATTGTTGTCGATTGTGCTATTGCTCCATTCAGGTAGCTTCCTAAGTTAAAATAAAACTTTACCAACGGCAAATCTTTATTTCTGCAGGTTTATTTTTTTTTTTGCAGAAACGATTACACTGGTCGCGGAGAGTTAGCCTCAAGACAACAAGCTATTGCCAAATTGATGAGATGCTTAGCTCGTTTGGCTGACATTTTTGGAGTTGCTGTGATAATAACCAATCAGGCAGGTCATTTACCGTAAATGCTGTATTAGAATGACATGTCATTCGATTTTTCGATACCCGTAGGGTGTCATTCTATTAGAGGGTGTCGTTTTATTTTTTACTCGAATGACCACTACGGATCACAAAAAGTATCGCTGCTCGGCTCAGGCCTCAGGGAATTCAACTATTGGTTTTCAAATTTTCAAACTTGAAATCTTCTGATGTGAAGTGCTCCAAATAATTATTTTCTTAATAAACACCAAAAGGAGTAAATACAAAGCGAGAAATCGGTTAAAATATGTGGAAATACGGTCAAGCAATGATTCTGCCGAGAGGTTGGTACCTCTGAACTTCGACGACGTAAAAGCCTAGGTAAATGCAATACTCTCAAAAAAACTATTTCATGTAAGTGAGGTGTCATTCTAATACAGCATTTAGGGTATGTAGTTTATTGACTTCCTTGATAAAAATTTTTAGGTGACAGCACAAGTTGATGGTGGAGGGGGGAATGTACCAGTCTGATCCCAAGAAGCCCATTGGTGGAAATGTCGTCGCGCACATGAGCACAACTCGACTTGGATTCAGGAAAGGAAAAGCCGAACAAAGAGTGTGCAAGGTATTTTGATGATTTTACTTATTTGTTTGAATTTTTATAATGATCCCCATTTCAGGTACATCAGTCCCCGTCGCTTCCTGAAGCAGAAGCCACATTTGCGATCAATGACCATGGCATTGATGATCCTGAAGAGAAATAACAAGGTTTGTCTCAAATGTGTCTAGTCAGTTATCTGTATTTGTTATTTTGTTTTTCTTATTTCTGATCTAAGGCATCTGCCTTTTTCTGTACGGGTATATCTCTTTTGCACATTCTCACTTCTTGTTCTTATCTATTAAAATTATTTGAATCATTTATTTGTTGTCGTAAATCACATTCTATGAACAAGATTCAAAAGTACAGGAAATGAAAATTTCTATAGCCACCCTGCAGAATATTTAGCGCCTTTTAGAAGAGAAAGAGAAAAATTGACGAGAAAGTTGATTACTAGACGAGTTACAGGCGAGGAAGGATGAGTCTGAAAGGCTTGATGATTTTATTTACACGATTTAACTTACCCAGCCGTAAGAGCCACTAATGGATTGGGTGTTGATGTTGTTGGATGCTCTCCTATAACAACGTTTATACTTTACAGTGTAATAGTTTGTTTTGCGATTACTTAAGCTTTGTTTATTATATTTCTTAAGTTTATAGTTATATAGAAGAAATATAATGGATGCTTACCACAACAAGATCCCATGTCAATATGGGTGAATTTGAGTGGATTGGCCGAGCTTTGGTCGTGCTCATCGAGGCGGGAAGCCTGAAATTGCGAGTGCTAGGGTGGATTTTTTTTTGTTAAATATAAAACTTTACTGGTAACCGTTGGAAAGGAAAAAGATGGCGTTCGAAAAGTTGCTTATAAGTGCAAATTGATCGCTTTGTCGTGGCTGTCGGCTTACTTTTATTAGGAAAGCGGCCGGTGTCATGTGTCCTCTCAATGTCTGCACTGAGGGTCTCGTGTTCCCTTGACGCACATCGGCTTGTTCGCCCTCGGCATTGTGGAAATCGTAATCCTAATTTCTCGTTAGGATCTGTATATCTGTTTTGCCACTAAACCTCAAAATGTAATCGACTGATCTCGACGGGTTGCCCGTAAGCATCGCCAGCACTTTGGATCTTGTGCGTTGTGCGGGCATGCTGTAAACGGATTGCATCGTAAACGACGTACTCCACCCATATTTAACTCACCCTTGCCGGTCCATTGTCCATGAAAGCCGCATAATATCCATAGGTCAATGCGGCATGGCCAGTGAGTGTGGCAAGGGTGTAAAGATGCTAAAGAGAAAAGAAGAATTCAGAGATTTAGGATATATTCCTAAAGAAAAGGATTCTCATTTCGTTTTGATTTAAAGATGCATCTATGCCCGTTCGCATAAGAATAGGAATAAAAAACATACGGGATTCGCCTCGTGCAAAGCCTCGTCTTTTGCGCGCGTCAATGGATCAAGCATCGTTATCCGCCCTTCGGCATCCGTATTGTAAATATGGATTCGACGACCCGATCGAGCGGTGATCACCTAAGATATAATTAGCATATTGTAGTTGATTTGCGTTTTACTTCGTCACAGGTGTACGCTTTGGAGCCGATGCTGTTACGCACCATACACATGTAGCCGATCGCCTGAAAGAGCTTTTTAAAGAGTCACTTTAGCGATTAAAAGTCTTCACTCTTTACCTTGATTCCTTTTGGTTTCAACAAATCAAGAATCTTGAAGATACCGGCAACGACAGCGGCTCCGAACTTGTCACGGCACATTCCGTGCATCACTCCGTTCACCTTGAGATCACAACCACCGGTGTCGATGGTCACTCCCTGAATGGGTCTTTGTTTTGAGCATTCGCGGATAACCTCTCCGACATTCCACTAACCTTTCCGACAAAGAAATAAGTCTCATCGATTTTCCCTTCGGGATTGTACTCGAGTCGAATGAGACGCGCCTAAATGTAGGAGAAAAATGAGAGAAAGAGGCTTTTTTCCACATACATGATGCTCTTTGATCCCACTAGCCGCTCGATTCACGGCTGCCATCAATGGGTATTCTTTAGCGATTTCATCTTGATCCGACGTCACTTCCACTTTAATCGAACTGCCCGAAAAGGCTTCCTAGATATGGACATAGAGTTAAAAAGACTGTAAAGGGGGATTTTCCGGGTCAACGTCAATAGGTAGCCAACGGAAAATGCCAAATGCTGGCTAATTTCACTTCAATCTTTTTGATTTTCATTTCAATTGATAGAAAATGAAATTCTGCGTCAAATGATATCAAAATCCAAAAGATCGGAGCAAAACTAGCCGAGATATGTCATTTTTTCGTTGCACGCACGCCTATTGGCGTTCAAACGGAAAATTCAGAGGTCAAGTACAAGTAGAAGCTGATATTTGATATTTAGTTTAATTTCTGACCTCGATGTAGTCAGCGACTCGGGGTGGAGCCATTCGTTGTGGATCAGTTTCTCCGACGTCTCGAGAAACGGTGAACGCCTCTTCCATGGCTAGCAGCAATTTGTCGATCGATGTACACTCCTAAAACTTTTACTTATCTATTTCTAATAGTTCTATTACTGATAGTAATCCGATTCTCTCGAGTTTTTGCTTGTTTTCCTCAAGGCGAACGTTGAGTGGAGTGTATGATGGCATGAGAGCGCCGAGAGCGGAAACGAATTCCGCATGCGGATGAGCCGCATTTGGGACGGTGACAAGGAGTGGAGAACGGAGACCGGCCGAAAGAGCTCTGCAAAAGATTAGCTTGTTCTGTAACCGATTTCGCTATAGAGCCCAGAATCTAGTATAGAATATGGGTCTATTTCTAAAGGAAGCCTCTAGATCAAATACTAGATCTAAGTACTAGTAGCCTTTAGCTTTAGCCTCTAGCTTTAACCAAATCCCCAAAGCCGAAAACTCTCTCAATTCTTTGACTTCATCAATTCCCCTCCAGTGATCTTTGCTTTAATTTTTATCACGCAAACTCGTAACCATAAAATGAATATCGATTAGAATTCTAGAAAACCGAAAAGGCGCGAAAAATCACAGCGCTTTTTTATCAGAAAATTGAGAAATCTTTTTACGACTTCATGGGAACACGGATCCTACAAGCAATTATGCGAACAATTCGCACGCTCGCAAATTCTGCTGAGCGAGGCACACAATTTTTTCGTATCATGCCAAGAATTTCTCGCAGATGACGCCCACACAAGTCTTCCGGCGTGGACTTTCCAATTTTTCCAAATTTTTCGAGGAAAATTTTTGGGGTATTGCTTGATAAGCGAGGGTGATAACAGATTGACACGAGTGGAGGGGAGGACTTGAGAAATAGACAGGCTTCCGATTCATGTCATGTGGGGAGTTGTCGAGGAAAATAAGTTGTAAACGGGGCAATCAAAAAGTGATCGGGGAACAATCGATTGTTGAGAATTCTTTGAATCTAGACCAGACAACAATTAGGGTTTTTAGCTGCTCATTGAATTAAGCTCTATTTTTCATTTTGAAATCATGCTGGTGTCAGCCGAATTGTTAGATCGTCATAGTTATGGGAAATCAGAAGCTGCTAATCGATCCTCATTCTTTGTTTAGAGGCTATTTTTTGAGACAATATCGATAAGTTCATCTGTTAATCTATCTTTCAATCCATCCGAACCTTATTCTTTAGAAAACCCATTCTTGAGTGGAAATTCAAGATTTTATCAAATACTCTCGTAGTCTTTTGAATTGTCAGCTCTTTGTCAGTTTTTTGAATTGTCAGCTCTCTAGCTGTCATCCACTTCTCCAAATCCAGCTGGCATTGTCTCTCAAACAAAGAAATGAAGAGGCAAAAACTTATCCATGCCCGGGAAATTTCGTTGAAAACTGATAGCCGAGACGCCAGAAATTAAGGATTATCCACGGGGAAGTGTCGTCATTTGATAAAGAAACAATGGAATACAAGAATGGAATTAGAAATGGGAAGAAGGGGCAAAGTGCGATGAGGGGAAGGCTTTCGAAATCAGAAGTCACGTAGTGGACGGGTAGGCTAGAGAAAGCGGAGATCAAGACAGCTGGATTCGAAATGTTAGATCTAAATGCTAGATCTAAATGTTAGATCTAAATGCTTTGAAGAATCTAAGGGTGTTCTTTGGTAATCCTAATTGCTAAAATTCTTAAAAAAGCGCCCAATAGACATAGGCTTTTTGTAGAAAACGAGTCATTTCCACGTTTTAGCAAACAGCTCTTTTTTTCTAAAGCTCAACATAGCATTGTATCCACGCTTTAGAAAAGTAGAACTGTTTGTTAAAACGTGGAACTGACTCGTTTTCTACAAAAAGCCTATGTCTACTGGGCGCTTTTTTTTTTTAAGAGTTTTAGCAATTAAGATTACTAAAGAACACCCTTAGATTCCCTCAAAGCAAAGCCAGAAATATAGTTTGAAGGCTTCAGGCTTTGCGTACTTTTTAAAGAAACATATCCGACTTTACGACATTATTATTTCCACGGTTGGATCTTTACTGCTTATTCACGTTGAAATATTTCACTCACAATTTCATAGCTCTCGTTGCAGCCTGGGAGAAGCGTCTCACGTCGTCATAATCTCTTTCCAATGGTCCCGTCCCGGAAAAGATCAATCGGCCGCTTGGCACTTCCGATTTTGAGACTGGGATGAGTGAGGCGGTTGAGTGCACGGATTTGTTAAGCTGCAAAAATGAAGAGAAAAATTGATATAGAGTCTAGTTTTTGAATTCAAAAGAAAGACAATGGGGAATTAGGTGAGAGTCACCTATGAGAGCGATAGCAACATAGTTCAGCTGTTGTTCGATTCTTTGAGTGTCACTGATCACATTTCAAAACGTATAGAGTTTGATTGTTACCGTATTCTCTCTATTAGTAGTGCACCTCGGCGAGCCGAGTTGGTGACTGTTTTACGGTTTTCAAGCTTTTGCAGAAGCTCAACACTTAAATCCCCCACTAGATCTCATCGTCAGCTACATTTTCCGACCCCACATCGATAGGTTCTGATACGCGGTTCTTGAGATTTCGAGGAATTTAGGCGACGCTCCGGGTGCACTACTATTAGAGAAAATACGGTAATCAGAAAAGGTGTTTTTGAATTATACAATTTACAGTATTTATACATTCGATGAAGCTATGCAAACGCCTTTCAGATCACCCCAAAAAAACGATAAACTTCTTTAGGCTTAGGTTATTGATTTGTGAAAAGCAAAACAATTATAAACAAGCTGGGTTATTCAGTTTTAAGAATTCACAAACCGATGCATAATCGATAAGCGTTTGTCCGATCGTTTTGAGTGGTTGATATTGACTAGCGGTGTTCACACAATTCGACACGATTAGTACTCCATCGTAAATCGGATCGGAGATGGTTGTCGCACGAACGATCGGACACGAGAGCAGGCTGAATTTCGATGGATAGAGGAAAATTGACAGAATTACATGTGGAAACTCATTTTACTATTGAAAGCATATATACTTTAGTGTTCTTGAATCTTTTCTGCACAATAAAAAGATCGGATCTCGTTATCGTTGTCCAATACTTACTTAATTACTTAATTACTTAACTACTTAATTACTTAACTACTTAATTACTTAATTACTTAATTACTTAATTACTTACCAAATACTTACCAATACTTATTACTCTACAGTAATAAACGAGCGTACAACTTGTATACAAATAAAAACAAAATATCCAATCAATTTTAAATCATCTTTTTTTCTCACCTCCTCAAATTGAAGGACATTTTTGGGCGAACGGAGTTTGAGTAAATCCTTTTCTAAGCCTGAAACGAGAATTGATAAAAAGTAGTTAAAGAAAAGTGATTAATGAACAAATGTAAAGATATTAAACTTGAAGAAAAAGTAAAAAAAAGACGAGCATCAAGACAAATTATATAAAGAAAAAAAGCCTCTTCTTTAGTTAGAGTTAGAAAATAATAGAAAGAGATCGATTTAAAATTATGGTGAACAAGTGGGACGGTGTTGAACTGCATATGTTACGAACTACGAAAAAGAACGGGCACAACTAAAAATGAGTGACGAGACGAGAAAAGGGATCAGAGTCAATTTGAGAAGAGAGGAATTGGGGGAAAAGAGTGAATGAAAAAGGGGAGTGGATAGGAGAAAGAAAGTCAAAGAGAACGGCGGGGAAAGGGGTGATTTTCCCCACTCTGCTGACCACTGTATTGCCTCTTGAAAATGATGTTTAGTGGCTGACAGGGAGAGTGATTTGGAATCACTACAACTAAGAAAAACAATTAGTGGTTCTAAGGGTCAAATATTAATTGATTGTCTAAAGTAAAGAAGAAACTAAAGTCAAAGTAAAGAAAACTAAAGCCAAAGTAAAGAAGAAACTAGAGTCAAAGTAAAGTAAACTAGAGTCAAAGTAAAATAAACTAAAGTCAAAGTAAAGAAGAAACTAAAGTCAAAGTAAAGCAGAAACTAAAGTCAAAGTAAAGTAAACTAAAGTCAAAGTAAAGTAAACTAAAGTCAAAGTAAAGAAGAAACTAAAGTCAGTGATTTTATTAAATTCTACTAAAGAAACTAAAGTCAGAAGGTTTTCTATTAAAAATTCAATAAAATTAGAGAAAAGTTTTTAGAAAACGTTTGAAAAGCTTTTAATCGACTTATCAGAAATTTCTTTCAAATAAAATAGTAAATTCTTTTGGTTTAAAAGAGATTTAAAAGGGAAAGAAGTTGAAAACCATCAACGAAATTGAAAAGAAGAGAAAAGAAGAGAAAAGAAAAGATTTTCCCTAAGAAAAGCTGACAAAAAGAAGAAGAGAAACTGAAGAAAAGGAGGCTAGCTTCAAGTCTCAAATAAACTAATCAGTTCCAGTCAAATTCTTAACAGGGAAAATCACTCCCCGCGTGATCACGCCTCTAAATTCTTCTTGTGTCTTCTGGAGAGCCTTTTTTTACCCTCAAATTTCCCCCAGACCAAGCCAAGGGCAATTGGCCAAAATTTACGGTTGAACTCGTTGAGAATTCATCCAGTTTTGTGATCAGCTTTGAGAAAAAGTCATGTGATTTTTTATATCACCTGTTCTGGGGGATTTCCTTGAATAAGTTGACTAATTCTGGAAATGAAACAGTGAAATGAATTGCGGCTAAAGATTTTGGCAATAAAAATAAGCGAAAAATTTTTAGAACAAAATAAACAAAATTGTTGTGTTGTGCTTTGTGGCAACTCTAAATTTTCTAGTTTTTTTTTTAAGTTGAATTCTCTTTACACTGGATGAAAGGCTTAGAAGAATTCAAAAAGGAAATGGTTTAAAAAAAACACGTACAAAATGAGAAAAGTTGGACGAGTTATCAAGCTTGCTTGCAAGTTTATTTCAAATTTGAAAAAGTGAACTTTTGTACTTCAAAAGTACGGAAAACATCGAGAAATCTTTATTTCAAGAAGTGCATAAGATTTTTGTTGATCTTTTCAATCATATCGTTTAATCGTTTGTTCAATTGGCTTGTTCTTTTTTGGCATTGGGATTGGCATTGGCGTTGGCATTGGCATTGGGATTGGCATTGGCGTTGGCATTGGCATTGGGATTGGCATTGGCGTTGGCATTGGCATTGGGATTGGCATTGGCGTTGGCATTGGCATTGGGATTGGCATTGGCGTTGGCATTGGCATTGGGATTGGCATTGGCATTGGCATTGGCATTGGCATTGGCATTGGCATTGGCATTGGGATTGGGATTGGCATTGCCGTTGGCATTGGCATTGGCATTGGCATTGGCCTTATTTTTGCCATTCAACGCCTCCTTAAACAACTTTTGAAACAGATATCGAAAAGTGACGAAATCTTTCGGACCCAATTGCTGCAACAGTTGAATGCCCGTGTAGATGGTGAACCCGAAAATTGTATTGAGGACGGGGTGGGCGACCGGTTGAAAGAAAATCGAAAGTCATCTTTCGATATGAATCACTCACAAGGATCATCGTTATCGTTGACCATGTCCCATAAGTACTCACCAATGCGATCACAAAATCAATCAGATCTGAATGTGAAATCAATCAGACCTTTAAAGCTACTTAAGCAGCTTGTTTTTAAAAGTCATAAATACTTTTTTGCCTAAAAATTGCCTAAAAAAATGCCTAAATCTGCCTTTTTTGCCTAAAATCGACTAATATTAGACTTAACTTCAACTTTTTTGCCTTTTAAAACTTAAATCTTTTAATGATGCAATGTTTGTATAGAAATTAAACCTTGACAAAACCATATCCGAAAGTAGACGATCACGTAAATCGTTGAGAATGCAGGTAAAATGATGAAAAATGGAGAGAAAGTTTGAAAATAGAGAATCATAAGGAGTTTCTTTTCAAGTTTTTTCGTTCGTTGACTGAAATGGCATGGCTTGTAGTCATTTTTTTTGGCTTCAAACCTTCCATTTCGATTGTTCACATAAAGCCAAGAGGCTAAAGCGATAGTGATTGCTCCAATCATATAAATCATTCCCAACCAGAAGATCGTTGTCACTGAAACGCAAGAAATCTAAGGATCTAAGGATCTAAGGATCTAAGGATCTAAGGATCTAAGGATCTAAGGATCTAAGGATCTAAGGATCTAAGGATCTAAGGATCTAAGGATCTAAGGATCTAAGGATCTAAGGATCTAAGGATCTAAGGATCTAAGGATCTAAGGATCTAAGGATCTAAGGATCTAAGGATCTAAGGATCTAAGGATCTAAGGATCTAAGGATCTAAGGATCTAAGGATCTAAGGATCTAAGGATCAATTTTGAGCTGAAAGTCAGCGGCTACTTTACGCCAAATAACTTTCTTCTAAGTGAGCCGATCTTTATGATTTATAATGTAATTTTGTAGATCTTAAAAAGTGCAACAAAAATGACACCACAAATCGTAAAGATTGGCTCACTTTAGAAGAAAGTTATGGCGAATTGTGCAAATGATTTAGTTGGGCAAAAAATTTGGCGCATAGTAGCTACTCACGGAAATTCAGAGCTTCTTTTAGTCTAGTCAAATGTTTTACAGTATACTATAAGCCTTGTCTACTGTATGCACTGAATATCTTTTGGAATTCTTCAAAAGCCAGACTTCTAAACTGCTCTTATCCGCAAAGTCAAAAGCTGAATTTTGAAAGAAAATCTAGCTAACTACATACTTTTACTTTTGCTGTACTATGCTTTATCAAAAGTTTGATTTTTCTGTACACTTACCCCAAGCATTTGCTATCCAATCATCTCGATATGTCATTGCTAACATTTGTGGTTGATTCAAGAAATCGCTGATGAATGGATATTGCTAAAATATCGACATTGAAAACAATGCTACAGTAAAATATAAATTAAATATCAATATAAAAAAAAAGTAAATTCACCATCACAAGTTTCCCCTTTGCTTGTTGCGTATTGATAAAGAGAAAATAAGCGAATGGGAGATGAATGCATAAACATAAATGATACATAAAGCTGAAAGGATTAAACAAGGATGAACAATAGAATCGAAAATGGAACAATGGAACAATAAAAAGCTCTCTAAACTTACACTAAAATCAAGACAAACGTTTTCCTTTTTTAATTTGAATGGATGACCAGGCGAGAGAAGGATTTGAATCTTCTGAAAAAGCGTTTGAAAGATTGCGGCGGGGAGGAGTGAGGCGCTGACGACAAGTGCAATCTGAAGACTTTTACAAAGATTTTACTATGATTTATTTACAAAATGACTGACCACACAAATGAATGGATGAATGTGAAACCATTTGTAGGCGATTCCACGAAAATCACCAGCGATTAGCGGGAAAAATCCGTGTGGTTCAGTGATGAAAAAGCATAAAATATCCCAAAAAGCGCTGATTATCTTTAAATGATTTTATGGAAATTGATCGTTTAAAAAAAAACCTTAAAACAACAACGTTTATTTCAATTGAAGAGCCAATAGAATTGCTTTATTTTTTCGGATTTCTTGAATTTTGTTCAACAAAATGTTTAACTTTTAACTACCGTATTTTCTTTAATAGTAGTGCACCCCGGTGAGCCGAGTTGGTCACTATTTTACGGTTTCGAAGCTTTTGCAGAAGCTCAACACTCAAATCCCCCACTAGATCTCATCGTCAGCTACATTTTCCGACCCCACATCGATAGATTCTGATAAGCGGTTCTCGAGATTTCGAGGAATTTAGGGGAAGCTTTGGGTACACTACTATTAGAGAGAAGACGGTATATTATTCCAGGTTAGGCTAGTAGATCAGACTCATCTATTTCCCTAATATTTCCCGGTGAGCCGAGTTGGTCACTATTTTACAGTTTCCAAGTTTTCCCCAGAAGTCCAACACTCAAATCCCCCACTAGATCTCATCGTCAGCTACATTTTCCGACCCCACATCGATAGATTCTGATAAGCGGTTCTCGAGATTTCGAGGAATTTAGGGGAAGCTTACGGTGCACTACTATTAGAGAAAATACGGTATAATATTTATAGACTAAAGAACTTAATGAAACCGAAAACTAGATTCCAACAAAACACTTTTTAAGCTCATGAAAAGCTATAGCTGTTACTAGAGTAAGAAAAAGAGAGACATTGAAGAATAGAAGACCTGACTTTTATTAGAGTTTTTATGTTATGAACCTGAAAATTGAGCACATGATATTTGAGAATGTTGGACGTTAGATGCGATGAGCAAAATGCAGCCAAATAAAAGCCATAAAAGAGAATTGGTGTGGCCACGATTTTCAAGAATAAATAGACGTAAGTCAATGGGATAAATGTGTTTTCAAAAGGGGATTCGTTCTAAAGAAAGAAAATGATTGAAGTTGGCAGCATGAGTCGCTAAGAAATATGAGTTTTCACTATTAGAATCGGCGTTGATTTGTTTGAGAATAAAGTGCACTTCATGCAATGCAATGCAATGCAATGCAACTTCTCAACTATTTCCAAATTTTGTTTTCACTCTAAAAAACGTCCTTGCGTAGCTCTGCGTAACTCTGCGTAACTCTGCGTAACTCTGCGTAACTCTGCGTAGCTGCTCAACCAAACGAAATCGTTGACCGTTTGTTTTCATTCATTAAATTTCTTAGAGCGAAAAGATTGAAATATTTTGGTTGATAAAGTAAAGGATTTCTGTTTGCATTTGCAAAACCAACTAGTTTCACCGCTCTGACACATGCCCATCTCTCATCCTCATCCACATTATTGCAAAGAAGCAAATCTTGATTCATAATAAAAGATTGCTTTTATGAAATAATCATTATGAATTCAAATACAATGATACAATGACTTTGAAATTCTAAAAAACGTCTTTGCGTAGCTCTGCGTAACTCTGCGTAGCTGCTCAACCAAACGAAATCGTTCACCGTTCAGGGCAGCAAGAAATTTGGAGCACTTTTTAGAATAGTTAAATTTTAGAATAATACAATGACGAATGACTTTTTTTGATAGATTCAAGAAAATTCTTGAGCAGGTGAACTCTTCGCGTATTGTACCTCAAAGTATCAAAGGTTAAAAGCCGTCGCTAGGCTTTCAAAAACATTTTTTTTTTGAGTGTCTACCCGATAGATTTATTAATTACGAAAATTTAGAAGTAAAATATTGAAGTCTATGGTTTCAAGTGCATGCGGTGAGCTGACTTTCGGGAATCGTTTTTTGCGTGATCGTCGTGGAGAGTGGTTTGACATGACGAAAGAGGGAAACATCGACCATTCGATCCCGCACACAATACAACATTCCCTCGAGGGATTCCAGTTCAGCTACCTGGAAATGAAAACGTTTGGAAACGAGATAAATACTAATAATCAGAGTTTATCCTATACGTTAATTGTAGCTACCGTAAATACTGTAATAGTACCCCAACCCCATAATGACGGTGCGGAGTGTTGGGTAGTCTAGCTTTGAACGAGTTTTTCTCGACACTGGTTTATGCTACAATGCGCGCTTAGGTATCAAAAAATAGCTGAATTTCAGGGCTATTTTTTGATATCAAAAACGAATTTTTTGAAAGTACGGGTGCTTTGCAAAAAATGAAATACTAAAAAATTTTTGCGACTACGCGACTGTACGAGGGCGGTGGGATACGGTGGGGTAGTTAGTTAGATAGCTAGTTAGATAGTTAGTTAGATATCGTAAATACTGTAATAGTACCCCACCCCCCTCGTACAGTCGCGTAGTCGCAAAAGTTTTTTAGTATTTCATTTTTTGCAAAGCACCCGTACTTTCAAAAAATGCGTCTTTGGTATCAAAAAATAGCTGAAATTCAGGGCTATTTTTTGATACCCAAGCGAGCATTGTAGCATAAACCAGTGTCGAGAAAGACTCGTTCAAAGCTAGACTACGCAACACTCCGCACCGTCATTATGGGGGGGGGGGGTGGGGTACTATTACGGTATTTACGGTAATTGTAAATGGTAAATTGTTTTGCTGGTAATGACAGAGGATTGATGGTTTACTGAAAAGGCGTAAGACAAAATGAAAAACTTGAATTGATCCAAGTAGAGTACTGCTACAAAATGTAAGTTTAATAATGAGATTTAATAAAATTCTAATATGATCATTTTCTAGGTGGAAAAGTCTTCTCTTTAAATGTTGTTTCCTAAAATCTAGCTTTCCATGAGTTCTAGTGATTTCTAAGAATGCTTTTCATAAGTTAGCTAATCAGCTAATCAAGTTAGCTAATCAAAAACAATCAAAAACTTTTTACTAATTCCCTTTTTACAAGAAAACTTTTCAACTTTCAATTTCGCTTACAAGAAAATGTTCAAATGATTTAAAAACAAACAAATTTAATAAGACGCACCTTTTTATTATGCAAATAAATGTTTGGATAGCTGTGGAAGAAATTTGGTCGATGATAGATGATCGAGTTGAATAAAGAAGCCACCATTAGATCAGCCCATGTCATCTGGAAATTGCGGGGGAAATTGGTTCGAAGTTTACCAGTCGAAGTTTAACACCAGCAAACTTTACATCTTATTAAATTGGGAATGATGAGATGGTGGTGTCTTTAAACGAACTTTTGAAAAAAAAACTAAACCATAACTTTTTTGCTAATTGACAATTAAAGTTTCGCTGATTATACGCCAAAATTTGCTCTCTGATGCATCTCAATCTGTTTTTTTTTGAGGAATGGCAATGGATGTGATGATCGATAAAGGTCGATTTTTGACTACCACTTAACGTGACGATGTTTGTCACAAAAATACTCGACTAAAATCCAGTTAAAACGTCTATTTTATAAGATAATAGAAGTCAAGTGCTTGATAGTAATTAAAGATTGAAAAAAAAAGAAATATCTGATTAGAGTGAAACCTGGGAATAGCTCAAAAAGTCACAGGTTTATATTCGAAAATTTTCTCGTTAACGATTTTAATTTATGTTTATTTTTGTTAACAAATTCGTACAAACATATTGGCTTAAATGGTTTTTTCGAATCGGGTTGGATTTTAAGGGAAAATTAGGTACGTTTTTTTTGTTAAACAAATCCTCTCACATTCCTCAAAAAAAACTGCATCAGTTTAAGATCAAATTTTGGTGTATAATCAACAAAACTTCAAAGCAAAGCAAAAAAGAAAATTGAGATAAAGTTATGGTTTAGTTTTTTTTCAAAAGTTTGTCCGAAGACACCGCCATTTCACACTTCCCAATTCAATGGTTACTAAAGTTTGGAAGGCCCTAGTAAAGTTTGGAATGCCCTACTAAAGTTTGGAATGCCCTACTAAACTTTGGAATGCCCTTCCCGACAAGTTGCGTTTGATCTCCACCGTATCTGATTTTAAAAGGGCTATTTCGTTGCATTTTAAGTGACTTTGTCATCTTTTATCGAGTACATTTTTCATGTCGTTTTCGCACTTTATTTCTTTCTGAATAAAGTATTTATATTAAAAAAAATATTAGAGTGTGTTCCTCGCGAGCAAGTAATTACTCGAGTAGATTTGCATGAGTAATTTTTTTACTCGAGTAATAGCTCGAGCAATTGTCGAGTAATGCGTTTTCTAAAAAGTGCGCCTGCGCGAAAAAAATATAAAAGCAATTTTTTGCGCAGGTTTTAGGGTAGGCTAGTTTCCACAAATTTCTTTGAGCAACAGGGTTATCTGCACAACTGGGTCATTTGCGCAACTCACCAAAACTTTCTTTTAAGTGAACCAATCTTTACGATTTGTAGTGTCATTTTGTTACACTTATTGAGATCTACAAAATGACACCAAAATCATAAAGATTGACCGACTTAGAAGAAAGTTATGGGAAATGGAAATTTTGTAGATCTCAATAAGTGTAACAAAATGACACTACAAATCGTAAAGATTGGTTCACTTAAAAGAAAGTTTTGGTGAGTTGCGCAAACGACCCAGTTGCGCAAAAAAAATGCGGAAACCAGCCTACCCCCAGGTTTTTCAAAAAAAAAATCATTTTTTACATTGGAAGGGAATTTCCCACCAAATCAGTTAAACGACTGAGTATCTTTAGAAAGTGTCATATATAATGCGGGGCTCGTGATTTTTGCGTCATTTTTTTTGCTATAAAAGTACGGTAATTTTTTCCCAAGTAATTTTTTCCCAAGTAATTTTTTTTAAAAAACGCATTACTCGCGAGGAACAAAATCTATTCAATAGTTGTATAACAAAAGAAAAAGCAAAACTTATCACCTTATGTCCAATAAGCCACGATGAGCCACTTTTAAGTAAAATATTCTCAATGATCGGTCCCAAATAACCGTCTAGATACTCTAACGCGTATCGATCCGAGCACTCTGGCTAAAAGGATTTTGAAATAAAAAACTAAATGAATAGAATAACCTTTGAATAGTCGATACTTTTGTATTCGATATGATCGAGCCAGGGTTGAAGTTTTTGTTTTGCTTCGTGAATCGTTTCAGCGATCATATCAACCATCGAATCTTCGAGCGCTGTTTGACCGGAAAGATCTGAAAATTTTCTTTAAAAAGGTTTAAATGAACTTTAGAAGAAATGGAAATAGATAATAAAATTATATAAATTTGAAATCTTAAAAAGATATCACCAAATCTCCATCCCAAATGTCGACAAATTGTGGTAGCGTTTCCGATTTTAGCTCCATCAATCTCCAACACTGGCACACTTCGGAGTGGAAGATCTAGAGAATATGAAAGTTGAAAACTTGTGTAAAAGTTAGTTCTTAATTAAAGCAAGCTCTATAGCTAAGCAAGAAGTGCTGCACAATATCAACATACCGTAAATACTGTAATAGTACCCCAGCCCCATAATGACGGTGCGAAGTGTTGTGTAGTCTAGCTTTGAACGAGTTTTTCTCGACACTGGTTTATGCTATAATGTACGTTTATTTATCAAAAAATAGCCCCGAATTTCAGCTATTTTTTGATATCAAAAACACATTTTTGAAAGTACGGGCGCTTTGAAAAAAATGAAATACTAAAAAACTTTTGCGACTACGCGACTGTACGAGGGCGGTGGGGTACTATTACAGTATTTACGGTATCTAACTAACTATCTAACTAACTACCTAACTAATTACCGTAAATACTGTAATAGTACCCCAGCCCCATAATGACGGTGCGGAGTGTTGTGTAGTCTAGCTTTGAACGAGTTTTTCTCGACACTGGTTTATGCTAAAATGCGCGCTTAGGTATCAAAAAATAGCTGAAATTCAGGGCTATTTTTTGATATCAAAACACATTTTTACGGGCGCTTTGAAAAAAATGAAATACTAAAAAACCTTTTGCGACTACGCGACTGTACGAGGGCGGTGGGGTACTATTACAGCATTTACGGTAATTATTTTCCCTCTAAACGCACCTTGAATCGTGATCTCATCGACTTCTTTCATCTCGTACGGAATATTCGCAATCGAGAAGATCATTCGAATCACCTAGAAAATTTGAAATGAAGACGAAGCCAAAGTTCCAATCTTCTATTGCGAGTTTTCAGAAGTCCGTGGGCCAAAAATGTAGGGGTTAATTTTTTTTTAGATTTTATACAAAGATTCTCAAACCTGACTACTTTCCTGATCGGCTTTGTCATAAAGAAAAAATTTCGGCAGTTTGCAAAACATTTTCTAAATTGATAATAGCATTACATTGTGATTTGAAAACCCCCACTCGTTTTCGTTTATCCTTTGTCTCCGATCCGTAGTTGCAAGTGATCAAGATCTCCTGGAATCAAGTGTTTGAAAGTGAGAATTTTCTAAAATCTACCTTAAAACCTTCTTCGGATTTGGTGATGATTTTTGGATGAGCTTGGCTTGGAGATTTTGATGACTGAATGGATTTTGATGGCGGGGATTTCGAGTCTACGATTTGTTCTCGATTTTCTTCTTCTTTTTTCGTCTCCGCTTTTTGATTCGACTCGTTCGCTTTCTTGGCCTTCTAAATAAAAAAAATGATTGAAATAGTTCACGGAAGTTTATCTGAAACTTGAAAAGGAAATCAAGAGCTTTACTTTTAAATTGGTAACTACTGACTGTTTAAACTTGTGAGAGGATGAGAGTTTGCTTTCATTGTAAACTTTGAGCACACTTGGACTTAAGCGTGGGTCAACTAGCGACTCACTTTCATTCAACACTCAATTTTTCACGCTACCAGTTAAACAGCTCTTTGGGGAAATGGAGAGTCGACTGTACTAGGATTTCCTAGGATGGATTTCCTAGGATTTCCTTGGATCCCTGCCTCTAAGCCTTGAGCTGCTGATAGAGAATTTCTTTGAATACATGAATATTTTTGCAATTACTACGCAAGTTATCATTAAATAGATAAAAGCTACCAGTTAAGAGTTACCAGTTTTCTTTCAAAAACATACAATAATCAATTCCCTTCCACTGAAGAATGATCTAGTGACAGAGAATTGAGAGGTTGATGGGAAAATTGAGCACACAGAATGAGTAGATTTAGGAACAGATTCGAGTGAAATAAACGAATTCTCAAGGGTTTCTTGGGGAGCGGTAATGTTAGGAAATGATGTTGAAGAGAATGGAAAGGGTTCGGCTTCTTCTTGAGCTTCTTCTTCTGCAGCTATTTCCGCTAGCATGGCTTCTTCTTGAGCGAAGAATAGCATTTCACTTGACGCCACTGCATCTGTTTCTCCAGCAAAGAGCTGGGTATCAGCATTTACTGTGATTTCATCTTTAGCAAATGAAACTTGATCTCTAGCTTCTTCAGTAAAGAAGTGTCGATTCTTTTGATCAAGAGAATCCGAGCTGCCCTCTGATGGAGAATCGAAAACGCTGTTGTTTTGGCGAATCTTCGAGAAATCAAAATCACTGGGTCTTCGAAAATAGTTTGTGATTGGTTCTAGACATGGCAGAGAAAGAGTGCGGATTCGTTTAGGAGACCGAAGATTTTGTGCTAAGTTCATTGAAAAGATTACTCAATATTCCAAGTCTGGACTTCCAAGTCCAAGAGAAGTACAGTTTGGGTCAAATTCTAAGCTCAACTTATAGAAGCTGTACAGTAAATCTGTCAGCTAAGAATATGAAGAGTTGAGAATTTGTAGATTTGAACAGGTTGAGCTACAGTTGAGTACAATAAATGAAGCTGCTAGATTAATCAATATCACGAACAAAATATCAGACTTAGTGAGTTGGAATGGGTTGAATGATCTCAACCCAATGGAATCTACTAATGACTCTAAAGCTTTTTCCTAGAGAATCGGGTGATCAATGAGCATTTTCTCTTTTCCTTTTGATCTCAAAGAGACTCCTCCTCTCATAATTCATTGGAGCTTTTTTTTTCTTTCATGGATTGCCTCGATTTCCTCAATAGATCATTAAGTTTAGAGTTTCACGAAGAGTTTAGGAAATAAAGATTTAAATCAATAGGTTATGAATCAATTGAAAATCAATAGGGAAATAGTTTATAAATTAATTGAGAATCAAAATAGATCGTGATGGATTAAGTTGTACGGGATTTTACAAATATCAATTCTAATACAAGTTGAAATCGATTTCAAAACACGGCTGAATACCCAAAAATTAAACTTTATTATAGAATTGGATTTGAATTTGGAAGCACTTGGACTTAAGGCGTAGGTCAACTAGCGACTCACTTCCATTCAACACTCAATTTTCCACGCTAACAGCTAAACAGCTCTTTGGGGAAATGGAGAGTTGACTGGACTAGGATTTCCTAGAATGATTTCCTAGGATGATTTCCTAGGATGGATTTCCTAAGCTACAAGATCGAAATGAAATCTAGATTTCGTCCAAAAATTTGCGAAAACTCAAAGCTGATTAATCCCTGCTGATCATTGATTTTCTTTTTTCATCGATCATAAATTTTCCATTCGCTATTCGTGCGGTCTTATAGCAGAAAGAGAAGAAAAGTTAATTGTGTAAAAGAGTGAAAAATGACCGAACCTTTTTCTGTGCTCTTTTACCGGATCACATTGCTTACTGAGTTTTTATTTGGTTCATTAATCGAGGTTTTTTGGTTTTTTTTGAGAGAACCTCTTGGATCCCGGGATTTTCTCGGGTCGAAAGGAAACTTTTCGAGGTTTTCATGATAAATGACTAGGGGTATAGTTAATTGATGCACCAAGTGGAAAGATTTATCGAATTTGAGAATTGGGGAAGTGGATTGGATTGGATGAAATGTTTGAGAGATCTCTAGTGGATAAGATTGAAATCGGGAAATAATCCACTAAATTAAATAGTTAAAGTAAATAGCCTCATCGAATGATGCCAAAAGTTAAGTTAGATAGTTAGCTAGATAGTTAGTTAGTCAAATAGTTAGTTAGATAGTTAGTTAAATAGTTAGTTAGATAGTTAGATAGTTAGTTAGTTAAATAGTTAGTTAAATAGTTAGTTAAATAGTTAGTTAAATAGTTAGTTAAAGAGTTAGTTAGATAGTTAGCTAGATAGTTAACGAGAGATCTCTACGGATAAGATTGAAATCGGGAAATAATTCACTAAATTAAATAGTTAAAGTAAATAGCCTCATCGAATGATGCCAAAAGTTAAGTTAGATAGTTAGTTAGTCAAATAGTTAGTTAGATAGTTAGCTAGATATTTAACGAGAGATCTCTAACGGATAAGATTAAAATCGGGAAATAATCCACTAAATTAAATAGTTAAATAGTTAATTATATAGTCAAAATTAACCAAAATGAGAATTAAATTATGAGAATTAAATTTGACCCAAAAATCCTTGTGTACTGGTTAAAAGGTCAAGTCATAGCGGGTATGTTTAGACACTTTTAAGCACAAAGTACAGCTAAATGCAAGTGAATGATTTACAAATGGAATAAAGAGTAGAAAAGAAAGAATATCAAAAGAACTTATGAAAGATTTATTTCTTGTAAAAAGTCAAAAAGACTGGTTTTCATCGTTTAAAAATTCTCAACAAACCTTTCAAATCGTGGCGATTTTGGAAAAGAATTTGATGAATTTGTTGAAAGGTTTGTTTGAAAAAAAAGAGTCTAAAAATTGCATTGCAAAGAAAAGTTTCAGGAATTTGGTAAATAGGTAATAAAAAAAATTGATAAATTTGATGAAAATCGCAAGGGAAAAAGGAGAGAGTCAACAGAAAAGGAGAACGGGGATTTGAAGGGGGAACGGTGACACAAATATTTCGATTTTTGTAATGTCTAGATTACAATGCGTTCTTTCTCGGCTAAAGCAATATTATATTTCAGAAAATTACCATAATCAAATCGTCAGTTTGTACATTGAACTTTTCAATTTGACTACCAAAAGTTAAGTTAGATAGTTAGTTAGATATTTAGTTAAATAGTTATTTAGTTAAATAGTTAGTTAAATAGTTAGTTAAATAGTTAGTTAGATAGTTAGTTAGATACCGTAAATACTGTAATAGTACCCCACTCCCCTCGTACAGTCGCGTAGTCGCAAAAGTTTTTTTAGTATTTCATTTTTTGCAAAGCACCCGTACTTTCAAAAAATGCGTCTTTGGTATCAAAAAATAGCTGAAATTCAGGGCTATTTTTTGATACCTAAGCGCGCATTGTAGCATAAACCAGTGTCGAGAAAAACTCGTTCAAAGCTAGACTACACAACACTCCGCACCGTCATTATGGGGGTGGGGTACTATTACAGTATTTACGGTAGTTAGTTAAATAGTTAGTTAAATAGTTAGTTAGATAGCAAAAGTTGGATAAAAGATAAACTGGCAGTTGGATTCTTTTTCAAAACTGTGAAGCGATTGGTACAATGAAAATAGCCAAATACCTAAACGATTCTAGAATCTGTGAAGACTTTACGAATGGAAGGGTATAGATCTGTTTTGTTCTATAAAGGGTATAGAGCTTTTTTTGATCTATAAAGGGTAATGCAGCTGTGTGAATTGACTCAAAAAAAAGGAGTCTCTTGGGAGAGAGGGGAATCTTTTTATGAGGCAAAAAGTCAAGCATTCAACTTTTTTCTTTTCCCAAAACTTTTTTTAAAAAGTCATTTGGGGAAATCAATTCAAGTTTTGCTCTGTAAAAGGCGCATTGAATTACGATTTTATTTCACTTTTTTTTGGGTAGTTTGACAGCAAAGATTGAAGAAAAGTTAAGCAAAAGTCAAGCAAAAAAAGAGGTTTAACTGTTCGATTTTTAGATCAAGGAAAATAAAATATTAAAAACAATTTGAATTACTTGTTAACTTGAAAAATATTGTAAAAAACAAAAGAAAAGTAAAAAAAAAAGAAAAATAGAGAAAAAAAAGCGAATTGAAATGGCATGTTATCAGTTGTAATTGGAAGAAAAAAAGTGATCGGAAAAAGGAGTGCCTCAAGGACAGTCTTCTCCATTTGACAGATATAAACAAGGAGAAAATGATTGACTTTACCACTTGTACAACGGTGAAAAACAGAAAAGAAAAAGTGACAGATGAATTGAATTTAAAAGAAGAGCAAAATCGGGAATCTTTCTTGAGAAAAAGCGAGAACCAAAAGCTTCTTTAATCACAGAAAGAAAGACTCAAGATTTGGATGAGAATTTTGGTGAATACTGCTTTGATTTGCACAACTTTTGCACAACTTTTACAGTACTACAGTACGATACAATACATCCTGTGCATAGACAGGATGTATTGTATGTCCGGGTTCAAGCCCCCGTACT